GTGGGGGGAAGCAGGGATGCGTAGAAACTCCCGACGAGTTCAATTGCATGACGGAGCATCTGATGGAACCCGTCGTGCGCAGCTGGCGCGATCGCCGCTTCGGCTTTGACTTTAAAGACGTCGGAGATGACCCGAAACCAATTCTAACGCACTTGATCTGAGCGGACAATGTGTACTTGTTTGCCATTTCCCCGGCCCACTTCGAGACGATGGCCAGCGATGTGACTCAAGCAATCCGTTCGGGCGGCTTCACATGGAAGCAACCATTCCTAGAATACATTTTATGTGGTAGTCTGGAAGGTCAGCAGGATTTCGGACACTCATTACTATCGCAGATGCCGAGTTAATCCATGTGCATCGCATGATTGTCCTGGGATCGCTCTTTGACTGGCGTGGGGACGCGACGACAAGCTCAGAGCACAGGCGTGGTGAAGGCGAAGCATGTTTCTGGAAGCGTTGGAGCCTCTTCTCTGGCAGGGCAACAGTTGCAGCCAAGCTGAGGACGTGGGTGGCCTGCCCAGTGGCATCGTCGGTACAGTCGGGGCCCTGAAGAAGGAACCCTTCTCGTTGGGGAGGGGCTCCGTGCTCCTTAAAGTGTTTCGCAGCTTGCCCTGGATTTCCCTTAGGGTTTCGATACGAAATCGAAGTTTAACTCATGGAAAATAGGGGCCTCGTTCCTTATTTGGGGTTCCTCAGATCAACGCCTCGACTGTAGTACGGGTGTGTCCTTGTGTTCCCAATTTCGATACGAAATCGATTTCCCTTAGGGTTTCGATACGAAATCGAAGGTTAACTTATGGAAAATAGGGGCCTCGTTCCTTGTTTGGGGTTCCTTAGATCAACGCCTCGACTGTAGTACGGGTGTGCCCTTGTGTTCCCAATTTCGATACGAAATCGATTTCCCCTAGGGTTTCGATACGAAATCGAAGGTTAACTTATGGAAAACAGGGGCCTCGTTCCTTGTTTGGGGTTCCTCAGATCAACGCCTCGACTGTAGTACGGGTGTGTCCTTGTGTTCCCAATTTCGATACGAAATCGATTTCCCTTAGGGTTTCGATACGGAATCGAAGGTTAACTTATGGAAAATAGGGGCCTCGTTCCTTGTTTGGGGTTCCTCAGATGAACGCCTCGACTGTAGTACGGGTGTGTCCTTGTGTTCCCAATTTCGATACGAAATCGATTTCCCTTAGGGTTTCGATACGAAATCGAAGGTTAACTTATGGAAAATAGGGGCCTCGTTCCTTGTTTGGGGTTCCTCAGATCAACGCCTCGACTGTAGTACGGGTGTGTCCTTGTGTTCCCAATTTCGATACGACATCGATTTCCCTTAGGGTTTCGATACGAAATCGAAGGTTAACTTATGGAAAATAGGGGCCTCGTTCCTTGTTTGGGGTTCCTTAGATCAACGCCTCGACTGTAGTACGGGTGTGTCCTTGTGTTCCCAACTTCGATACGACATCGATTTCCCTTAGGGTTTCGATACGAAATCGAAGGTTAACTCATGGAAAATAGGGGCCTCGTTCCTTGTTTGGGGTTCCTCAGATCAACGCCTCGACTGTAGCACGGGTGTGTCCATGTGTTCCCAATTTCGATACGACATCGATTTCCCTTAGGGTTTCGATGCGAAATCGAAGGTTGACTTATGGAACATAGGGGCCTCGTTCCTCGTTTGGGGTTCCTTAGATCAACGCCTCGACTGTGCTTGATGGCGCCACCCGGCGCGTTGCCAACACACCTCCCCGTCCGGGCGCGGAGGTGGGAGCCACGACCTCTGCGGACAAAAGGGCCTGAAGCTGAGATGCCGGACGTTGGGAAGCCTCGCGTCGTGCCGTCGGGGCGTGGACCTAAGGAACGGTAAAGAAGGAACGAGGCCACCTTTTCCCAGATGTGAAACTCAGATTTTCCATGGGAAAACCGCAGGGCCTGAAGTTGAGATGCCGGACGTAAGGAAGCCTCGCGTCGTACCGTCGGGGCGTGGACCTAAGGAACGGTAAATAAGGAACGAGGCCACTTTTTCCCAGATGTGAAACTCAGGTTTTCCATGGGGAAACCGCAGGGCCTGAAGTTGAGGTGCCGGACGTAAGGAAGCCTCGCGTCGTACCGTCGGGGCGTGGACCTAAGGAACGGTAAATAAGGAACGAGGCCACTTTTTCCCATATGTGAAACTCAGATTTTCCATGGGAAAACCGCAGGGCCTGAAGTTGAGATGCCGGACGTAAGGAAGCCTCACGTCGTACAGTCGGGGCGTGGACCTAAGGAACGATCAATAGGGAACGAGGCCACTTTTTCCCATATATGAAGCTCAGATTTTCCATGGGAGAACCGCAGGAAAGCACAGGAGCACCCGAGGAGCACCGTAAAGCAACTAAGGAACACGGAGCCCCTCCCCAGCAAAAAGGGTTCCTTCTTCAGGGCCCCAACTGTACAACGGCCGCGCCACCCTCATGATCAAACGATGGTTCGTCGCAGGCGGCCTGAAGCAGATCCACCGCAGATTTGTGCATTTCATCTTCGATCACGCTTGGCGGGGGAAACGCTTCCGTTCACCCGCTTCTGTCAACGTTCTTGCCCCAGCCCGATCGTTCCGTGACCGGGCATACTGGGAGACCGTCAAAGGCACAGGTCTCAAAAAGCAGCGGCGAACAGCTGGCATGATGCACAGCGGCGTGGGTCATCGCACTGAGGTGGGAGACGTCTTCTGCTTGGCGTTCGGTGCCACGTGGCGGTCCTTGCGTGGCGCATGCCCTGATGTACCCTGGGGAGCATTGCGCCCGCATTTCGTTCGTACATGCTGCGCGCTGTGGACCCTGCCTGGGCCCCCGTGCACACGGGCCGCAGAAGATCCCGTCGCAGAGCCTCGCGATGCCAAGCGGGTCAAGAGAGGCAGCGACAATCTGGAGAGTTGTCCCTTTTTCACGTGGTCTGAATTGTCCTCCCACGACGTTTTGGCGCGAGTGCAATGGTTTGACCTTGGTCTCAGATTGTAGGCCAGTTGCCGAGGTCATCTGTGGCCACGCTCCGCTCTGGGACGCTCCGCCGTCCCCAGCTTTCGAACGAATGACGGCGACCTTTTTCCAGCTTGTTTTCGGAGGGCTGGACGTCGGCCTCACGCACTGCGGACCCTGTTGATTGGCAAGAGCGCGTGTGCAACAATATCGCAGATCTCCGAGCCAATGTTACAGTAGATCCCGGCTGGAGCTGGACGAAAGGAAGCGAGCCTCCAGTGCCAGTTGAAGCCGTCATCCCTCAGGACGACCGTTGTCGCGTATTTCGTGTGGCACTTAGAAGCATGCATTTCGATTCTCCGGTCTCTTCTTTCACCGCCGAGATCGTCGCCTTAGACGATGTTGTCTCCTTCGTTTCACGGTTTATTCGTAGATCGACGGGTGCCAAGCGGGCCTGCGTACAGACGTCCACCACCCTTGATTCCTATTTCTGAGCCTGCCACCGTCGTGACCGAGGGCGTCCGAGAAAAAGAGGAGGAGGAGCAGGAGGTGGAGGAGGAGGAGGACTCCCCGCTCGGCCCCCTCGGCCTCTTGCCGCAGACGGCCTTCGTTTTCCGGCGGACTGGTGCCGCAGCTGGTCGGGCCATCCCCATCGCAGAAGCGAGCGCGCCTGCTGCACAGACAGGTGGTGTGGCAGTGTGCGGGGAGCCTCCCGCATGCGCTGCCCCTTCATCGTCGCTGCCGCATCACAGCCCTCTTTCAAGGGCAGTCAGGGGGGGGGGCGTTTGGGCATGGGCCCCCGCTGCGTCTCGTACCCTCAGGTGATCCCCGTCCCCCTCCAGGATCACCCCAGACCTCAACGGGCTCCCAGAGACGTCCATAACCCTCTTGGACCTGTTCTTCCTCCTCCTCCTCCTCCTCCTCCTCCTCTTGCTCCTCCTCCTCCTCCTCCTCCTCCTCCTCCTCCTCCTCTTGCTCCTCCTCCTCTTCTCCTCATCCCTGCGCATCGAAGTTCCGAGGGTACTTGATCGCATTGGAGATCATGTCCGCCACTGCTCGAGCGCTTGAAGGCTCAGCCGCTCACGCGCAGCAGGGCCCCTCGAGCGCGCGCCGCGCGCTGCTGCGACGGGTCGGGTCCTGGCGCACTCCTTCGTCGTCGTCGCCGCGAGGAGGGTGGAGGAGCGAGGGAGGGAGGGAGGGATCCAGAAGAGGGGGAGGGGCCTCCTCCCGTGCCCCTCTTTCCCTCCTCCCCCTCCTCCCCCCCCCTTCCCCGTGGAGCCTCCCCAGCTGTTGGACCCTTGGCCCACCCCCTTCCGAGATCCGACGCTTTCGCGCATGACCGCGACCGGAGCCCTGTAGACACCATCTTTCGATCTTTCGGGCCCGAGCGATCAGTGATGGGCCCGGAGCCCGCAGCCAGGCGAGAATGCCAAGTGTGGAAAAGTGATAACGCCTGCATCTCAGTGGTCCCCAGAAGCGTCGGGGCTTTTAGCTGTTTTCATAAAGTTGTCCCTGGAATATGAAAAAGCGGGAAAACAGCGGATCCCAGAAAGGGACGATAATTTGTTCCAGGAGTGGAATTGGCAGCAGGATTGGAACGAGACGGCGACGGCACCAGAAACAGAACGGCGCCGACACCGGCCAGCAGATGTGGCAGAAAGGCTCTTGCAGTAACAACGCCCCCTGTCGCCTCCAGGGACCACTATAAGGTCCAGATCTCTTGTTCTGTCTGTCCCCGGGTCGCCCGGCGACCTCTGGATTCGCACAGCGGTCGAGGCCGAGTCGGGTGACGTTCCGTGGTCGCGTGCCCTCCTCTCCCCCGAAAGGACAAAAATCAGAAGGGTTCAGATCTCAGGGCCCCGCGCCGCGGCCTTTCTCCTGTCAGGCCCGCCCAGGTGTGAAGGGGCCCCAGGACACACAAATAAATACACATCAATAAAATTATTCCCCATATTTTCCCATATTTTCTGGGTTTTTGTCTTCCCCTCCACTTCCCATATTTTCCCATATTTTCTGGGGGATCGCCGATTAATTGTGTCTGTGTTTTTTTCTCTCCTGAAGGTGGCGCCGCCTTGCTAGCCGCGCGCAGTAGAGCCCGCCCCTGCGCGCCGGCCGCGCCATACCCCGCGCGCCGGCCGCGCGCACCCCGCGGGCTGCGCAGGACAGCCCCTCCCGCCCGTCTTGGGGAGCTGCTCGGGCGGGGCCGGGACGAGGATTCGTAATTTTTGATTATTTGAAAATTTTGTTCGAAATTTCTCATTTCGTATGTGCTCTGGTATTTTTTCCCGTGATATTCGATCTTATTCCGGAGATCGATCGAGTATCTAGCACTGTGAAAAAGCATCCTGGCGAGATTGTAAATTGTTGTTCCAGAGCGTTCCGGAACGCACTCAGAGCGTTTCGGAGGGCTCTGGGAAGGCCGCTGTGCCCAAGCCACCTTCCAGAGCGGCCGGACCTCAGAGATGCTCGGTGTATCATCGCCCGACGTTGTCCTCGTGCTGGCTTCGCCTTGGCTGTGGTCGGGGGGCGGTTTCGCTCGGTTGTGGGCCTGGGACCTCAGTGGGCCCCGGACGTGGCAGGGCATTTTTTCTCTTGCGTGCCGTTTTCAAGAAGCTGGTATATTGCCTCTGGAACGTGAAGGCGGTCAAACAACGGCTCCGGGATACGGGGGGAACAACGGCTCCGGGATTGGAGCCAGAATCGGAGCCGGAGCAAAGGTGGCGACGGAAACGTGTATACACGATTGACCCGAACCTGGAAAGGAATGTAAACATCTGAGGCGTGGGAATGCTTTCGAGACGCCTGACTGGGCGACGGCCACTTGCAATGCCGAAAGTATCGATTCCTATGTACAGTGTCAGAGGCTCCAGCTCGCGGCATGCACACAGTAATGCATCGGTTCTGCTTCCTTCGACGTGGACCCACGCGAGAGGGTCCTGCTGTTTTTAATGGACAGGCGAGGAGTCCCTGGTTGGGCGGTTTGTAAAAGCGCTTGTGACCATTGCTTTTGTGCGCCCGCATGCGACAGCGACGCCTTCTTGGCCAGACCCTCTTAAGTAGATGTTTTGTCTGCCGTTTCGTAGAGGTCACAACATGCGGAACTTTGGGTAGCCAGTTCTGACGCCCCGATCGGCTGCCTGTGGTTGAAAGAATTGAGCGATATCAAAATGCAAAATGGGGTCCTCGGGGGGAAGGGCTCCTCACGTACAGGGGATGCCTGAGCTTATCTATATCCGGAGTTGGCGTGCCAACCGCTAAGGTGCGAAGTGCGGTTTTGCATGGGGCGAGAGGATCAGGGAAAGGGGGGCAGTAATAGTTATTACGACAACAGGGGGCGACGTGAACATGCGTTTTTCGTTTGCGTCCCTTCTTTCGTCGTTTGTGCACCGCCTCCAAACATATGGCTTGCACTTGCTCCAAAGGTGGGCGTGTAGATTCGTCCTGCGGCCTCTTTTCGCATGATTGATGTCCTTCCTGTGCCCTATGGCTCTTTGGGCCGCCGCGGGCATACGCCACTCGCCCGTTGCTCTTGCTCCTTTCTCGACGCACTACGTCTCATGTTGGTGCCACAAAGCCCGTGTGCTCGTTGCGGTTGCCAGTGGACTTGAGAAGCTCGATTGTCGCTGTCGCCGCGCAGCAGGATGGGCAAGAAGATCGTCAATGCCACAATTGCTCTCTCTGGCTTGTCCATCTTTGCTGGGCTGATAGCTCTGTGCCAGCTGGGGAGTCCGGGGGGGCATGAATGTCAGGGCTGGAGCGAGGTTATGAGTCAGACGCATGGGAGGCGCACTGGGACAGGCACTGTGTCGTCTGTGGCATCGCGGGTGCCAGCAGCACGAAGGTGAGCAGCGCATGGGTGCCGTTCGCCGTCCTAGCGCGCGCGACTCGCTCATCCCCCCCCGTGGCCACGGGCAAGCGTCTCCGCTCGGTGCTTTGCGGTGCGAAAGAGGGCAGCAGTGGGCATGGCACAGCCAAGATGCTGAAGCAAGGACCACCCTGGGCGCAGGAGGGGCTCTGGTTTCCGGGCCGTTCCCCACATCCAGTTATTCACCAGCCTGGAGCATATCCCTATCCCTGTGCTGGGCACCTCCTCATCACGATGCCGATCTTAGGGATTCCCTTATGTCTTGAGAGCGAATCCCTCAGATTGTCATCGCCTTTTGGCGTGTCGATCTTAGGGATAGGGATACGTTCGAGGCTGGTAAGTTATGGAGGACCTCTTCGAAGCCGAGGCTCTTGCCGTGGCCAGAAACGTCCCTTGGTTCCGTATGCAGTGTTCCTTTTGGTAGCACGGTGTCTGTATCGGTGATTGTCTTCTCCCGCATGCTGGGCAACTCGCTCCTCGGTGCCCCCGTTCAGCTCTATCGCTGGTGCAGCCAGTCTGCCTCGCCGCCGACGAAACAAAGTTTGTATCAGCGAATTCGCGGGACCTGGCCCCGACCACGAGCTTGTGGACCGGACGGCCAGCCGGCCCCCCCTTGCGGAGGCCTCGAGAGGCTCCTCTGCGCATCTGCGCCTGGGCGGGTGCGGGTGCGGGCACGGCACCGAATCCCTAACCAGTGCTTCCCGCCCGTCCCCTGGTCCCTTCCAGTGACGCCCTGACCGACCGCCGCCGCGCAGACTCCACTGTCACGCCGAGCCTTGATGTGATCCTTGATCGGGTATGGCCAGGACCCCGGGTAAGGGGACCCGGTTAGTGGTAGGGCACTGGGGCCCCTCAATTGGCCAGATTCACTAAACCAGGTCTGCCGTAGTTGGTGTTTTTCGGGTGACGGCAGTTCCGGTTAGTGGAAATGGGACGGGGGGGCGCCCCCGGTACAAATCACTAAACCAGGTCCACTAAACTCAGTTCTGCCAACGCCCGACTTGATCTTTTGCGACAACGAGTGGGAGGAGGAATGGCCCGTCATGGCCGCCATCGGCTTTCACACAAATGTGCGCGCGCGAGCGTCAACGAGCTCGTTTGCGTGAGTACCTGTCGGTCGTTGAAAGTAATTAGGTATGTGTGGACTCCTAGATGCAAGTCTACTTCGAGCGCCTTCGTGCTTCAAGAACGGATCTGCTTTTGTTTTGTGTTGTTATTCTCTGGGGTGATCTGAACCCAATCTGCTTTATCCGCCTTCTCACTTCATTTTGTTACCTACTTCTTCCGACCGACGTGTACATGCACGCAGCCGCCGTCACGTGTTTGGGGATGTCTTGAGCCAGCACAACTCGCCATGTGGCAGGGGTCCCTTTGTCTTCGCAGCAATGCGGACTCCTCTAGCTAGTTCGTGCAGTGAGGCATCAAACAGCTGGGTATTCCTTCAGGCTGGGATGGAGATCGACGGATCAGGCTATAGGCAGTATGAGGAGGTGGCGGCAGCATCTCTACTGACGATTGACCGATTATGGTGGGTTGCACGGAGGTGCTTGCCTATGCATTCGCTGTGGTTCTTCGTGTCGCTCCGCCCGAGAAATATGGGACAGACTGTAGCCCTCTCAGCTTTGAGCCGAATGGCCTCTGTTGGTTCGCAGTGCACTTCCTGCTTGGGTTGACGAGGGCGTCACCGCACCCGTGCTCTTGTGAGACCCCTGCTGATGGAGAACCTTGGGGTATTTGAGGTTGGGGGGTGCGGAAGCTTCTTCGACCCCGTTCCCACCATGAAAGTGCAGTTTGTGCTCGTGTCGTGGGTGGCATGCGGGCGAAGCTCGCACCACATCACACCACAACACGCGAGTTCCCCAGATCATCAGGCTGGATAGTGGGAGCGCATATTCCACATCTTCCTGCTATTGCTTCGCTGGTGGGTGGGACCCGGCGAGTGTCGTGGGGTGTCGCGGGGTGTCGTGGCGTTTCGTGTTTTTGGTTCTTCGTGACGAATTGTGACGATGCGGTGTGACGGCGTGGTGGTGTGGCGGCGTCGTGGTGCCGCGACGTCACGGTATTGTTGTGTTCTGACTGTCTTGGCGTCGTGGCGTCGTCCAGTCGTGCTGTCGTGGTGTCGCGGCATCGTGGTGATCCCGCGTCGTGGTGTCGTGGCGCTGTGGTGCGGCGGCGTCGTGGTGTCGCAGTGAGATGGTGTCGTGGTGTTGCTGTGTTGTGGTGTTGTGGTGTTGTGGTGTCGTCGTGTCGCGGTGTCGTGGTGTCGCGGAACGTCGAGTGCCGTCGTGGGATGTCGTGGTGTCGAGGTGCGTCGTGTTGTTCTTTTTTTGTCTTGGCGTCGTGCGTGGGAAGAGAAGATTCAAATTTTCCGTGCAGGATTGCCTTCAGACAACGGGGGCCAACCATCTTTGAGACGCCTGGGCCAGTCTTGGGGCCGTCTCGGAATGCTATTGGGCACTTTCGGAGGGTCTCGGCCAGTCGTGGTGCTGGCTTGGGGCGTTCTTGGGGCTGCCTTTGGCCGTGTCGAGGGCTTCTCGCGGCCCTCGGAAAGTTTCCCACTTTGATCTGGAGCCAGAAAGTTTTGAAGGCGATGCGCATTAGCTTATGAGTGTTATTCGAATTTCCTTCGCTTCCGAGGGCCTCGGCGCCGAAGGCTTCATCCAGCGTCTCTCTGGTTACCCTGTGGCCAATTTTGGCAGTTCCTGAGGTCTCTCGGGGACAGGACCATCGTCGCCAGTGTCAACACTGGTCGGGGGCCTGCAGAGCCCCAGGCATCGAATGCTGCAGTCCGCACGGACCAGAAGGTGCGTCGGAGGGTTCGTGAGATGCGCCAGGGAGTTTTGTGGAGACTCCGGGGCGTGAAGACGACCACAGCCACTGCTTTTCTCTTGTTGCCGCCCTCCAGCCCGCAGAGAAGCAGAGCAGTGGCTGTGGTCATTTTCCTTGCGCTCGGCACCAGGGACATGCCCACGACCACTGCTTCTCTTTCGGCCGGCCGGAAGGCGGCGCAAACAAGAAGCAGTGGCCGTGGTCGGTTTCCCGTCCCGCGGATACTCCCCGTCCCCGCCGGCACGTTGTTTTGGGCCCCCGGGAGGGAGGGGAGGGCACGGCGGCCGGGCGCCTCGCACGCCCGGTCGCGCGCCCGGCAGGCGGGGGTCTCCAGGTCGAAAGGCCTCTGGACGAGGGCACGGGCAGCAGTTCCTCCGCTGATCGGGGGCGGCAAAGAGGGGGGTGATGACTAGGAGGGGGGGATATCATGGCGGGGGCCCTGATATTTCCTCAGATTTCATGGCGCCTCTTCTTGTTTCATTACGTCCCTGGCCCCCCCGCTGGGCCGCGCACATGCCGCTGGTCATGATTTGCACCCCCCACTCTTGGACGCCCCCCTCTTTGCCGCTCCCGAGTTGACAAGGGCAGGGTTCCAGGAAGGGTTGTGCTCCACGGTTGCAGCCGTCAGCGCCACAGTGGACAGATGTCCAGCCATCCACGGGCCAATTGTGCACAACCAGAAGTGTCAGTGTGCTCTTTGGCTTGAGATTCTTGGGTGCCATCGGGGATCTCTCAGGTGCGAGTTTGTCCTCGCTATCCTTCCCCCTCTCCCCTCCGTGGCCTCCTGATGGAAGCATCTGGAGGGTCCTTCCCTTCGCTTCTCCCTCTCCCCCTTCGCGTCCCCCTTCTTTCCCTCCCTCTTCGGTCCTCGTCACCCCCGTCCCATCCTTTCCTCCTCCTGCCTTCTGCGTCCTCATCCCTTGCCTCCTTCTCCGCTTCCCCACTCGTCTTCATTCTCGTCATTCTCGTTCTTTCTCTTTCTCCCTCGCCTGCGGTCAGGAACGTCCGCTTGGTGTGTCGTGCGTCCTGTCCTGGCCCACCACGCTTCGGCGCGACACGCTCACCGCCTCAGCGCCACGCCCTGCTGAGCGATACATCCGCCTGCAGGGCGACAGCGTGTCGCCGGGGCTGCCGCCGCGACACGCCACGCAAGAGCTCCTGGCCGCTGCACTGTGCGCCATAGCCGCCTCGCTCTGGCTTCGACCCCGCCGCCGCTCAGTGGACCGGTGCCCTTCTTCAAAGTGGAGACGCACGCGCTGTCAGTGGACCGGGCCTGTAGAGCAATAGGGCCTCTCACACACTCTCTCTCTGACTCTCTGACTCTCCCTGTCTCTTTTTCTATGGCTGTCTCCCTCCCTCTGTCTCCGTCTCCGTCTCCGTTTCTGTCTCTGTCTCTGTCTCTGTCTCTGTCTCTGTCTCAATCTCTGTTTCTGTCTTTGTCTCTGTCTCTGTTTGTTGTCTGTCTGTCCGTCTGTCTGTCTTTCTGTCTGTCTTTCTGTCTGTCTGTCTGTCTGTCTGCCTGCCTGTCTGTCTGTCTGGCCGCTGTCTGTCTGTGTGTGTGTGTCTGTGCCTGTATCGACGCCGTTGTATGATCTGAGAGCTCTCTGGCCGTTCCTTGGCTGCCATCTCCTCCCTTCTTGTTCCTCCTCTTCTTTCGCCGTAACTAGTTACGAACGCGTCCTGCTTTCAGCCCGACCACTTGTTGGACCCATCTCGCCGCAGACGCAAAGCTGCCTGTCAGTTTGTTTTTCTTAGGGCTTCTGAAGGCCTCCAGGGAACCTTTCAGCAGCCAGCAGCCTGTTGAAGCCACCTCGGGGCTTCTTGGGAGCCCCTGGGGGCTTCTTGAGGCTTCTCTTGGGGCCGTCTTGGAGGCACATTGGGGCGTCTTGGATGCCTAGGCCGTCTTTGGGTCCCATCAGGCCGTCTTGGTCTTGGGGGCCCCTTGGGCGGTATTGGGCTGGGCTGGAGAGTGATGTGGGATGTTTGCCTTATTCCTTCGTGCGCGAGGGCAGCCCAGGAAGCGATGTGGTGAGGACCTGTCAGGCGAAACCGTCGGTGCGGGACTCGGCGCCTGATCCTTGCGGAGCGCCAGAAACGCTGCCAGCAGGAGTGGCGATTGGGCGTTTCAGTTCCTCTTTCGCCAGGACCGAGGCCAGGGTCGAGGCTGCTTATAAGGAGAGTTCGTCCTCTGGGTCGTCTGGACAAGAGTACCTGGGGATCCAGTTCAGCGTTTGAAAGGCTTTGCGCCACGTTTCTGAGAGGCAGTTTTTCTGCAGCTCTGGAACTTGCACCCGCTGGACTTGCACCCAGGGTGCGATTTTTCGAGGAGGAGGAGGGAGGAGGAGGAGGAGGAGGAGGAGGAGGAGGAGGAGGAGGAGGTGGAGGGGAGGAGGAGGAGGAGGAGGAGGGAGGAGGAGGAGGAGGAGGGGGAGGAGGAGGAAGAGGGAGGAGGATGAGGAGGAGGAGGAGGAGGAGGAGGAGGAGGAGGAGGAGGAGGAGGAGGAGGAGGAGGAGGAGGAGGAGGAGGAGGGAGGAGGAGGAGGAGAGGAGGAGGAGGAGGAGGAGGGAGGGAGGAGAGGAGGAGGAGGAGGAGGATGAGGAGGAGGAGGAGGAGGAGGAGGAGGGGGGGGGGCAGGGCGCGAGGCCCCCCTCTGACGCGCGCGCGCCCAGTTGTCCACAGCCCCCCCTCCTCCGGCGTGGCCCCCCCCCGCCTCTGGACAGGGGGGGGGAGGAGGAGAGGGGGAGAGGAGGGGAGGAGGAGGAGGAGGAGGGAGGAGGAGGAGGAGGAGGAGGAGGAGGAGAGGAGGAGGAGGAGGAGGAGGAGGAGGAGGAGGAGGAGGAGGAGGGGGGCGGGGCGCGAGGCCCTCCATCTGACGCGCGCGCGCCCAGTTGTCCACAACCCCCCCTCCTCCGACGTGGCCCCCCTCCGCCTCTGGACAGGAGGGCCGGGGTCCCTGGGGGGGCGGGGAGGGGCCTTTGGGCCTTGACCCTGTCAGGTTGGATGATTTAATTGAACGCCCCTGAGGGGGCAGACACCGCAGCCCTACTTTTTTTTTGTTGTTTTTTTTTTTGTTGGAACGCGGAGGTTGCGTGGGGGGCAAATCGGGATGTAGCGGGGGTGTTCACTCAGCTTTGGCTGGGCTTTTGTTAAGTGGGGTCTTAAAGACTCTCAGAAAGCCCCAAGAGAGCCGGAACATGACCTAAAAAAGACACCATATTGGAGAATAAGGTCTCAGAGGGCTTGGACAAATACGAAAGTGGGGTCTTAAAGGCTTGCAGAAAGCCCCAAGAGAGCCGGAACATGACCTAAAAAGACGCCAGAAAGCCGTAAGAGAGTCTGAAAATGATTTAAAAAGGACGCCTGAGGGTGTGCAAAAGTGTGGACGACAGGAAGAGGCATACGGAGAGGCGTGCAAACGAGATCCGAGTTAGTTTGGGGGCCTCTGAGGAATGGGCGAGGAGTTCGTGTGCGCGCAGATTGAGGGGACTGAGTTCGTGCAGACCATACGGCGGGGATCTCACACGCCGTTCCCGGTGGTGCGGCGGATCGCTTCGCTCATTCCGCCGGCCCTCGAGGGCTCTATGGGGCCTCTTTGGGGCCTCTTGGGGGCCTCTTTGGGGCTTCCCTCCGCCTTTGGACAGGGGGGCTGGGGTCCCTGGGGGGTGGGGGGGAGGGGCCTTTTGGCCCTGACCCTGTTGGGTTGGATGATTCCTTGGTTGACCGGGGGGGTAGAGCAAGCAGCGGTAGAGGAGCGCCGAATAATTCTCCGGTATGAAATTTGAGTGTGCATCGGGTGCGGAAGATCAGACATGCCATCGCGCTGGTCTTGCTGAAGGAACCCGCGCAGATGTTGAACACAACTCGCAGGATAATCATCCAATTGTAGTTGATGTTCGTGGTGCGGAACACCACGGACATCGACCACAATTACGCCATACTCTTATGGTGAAGCTGTTACACCAGAACGGAAGCCCGACTGCAAAACCGAGCCGATCGAGCCGACCGAACGTTCGGTCGAATCGAGTCGATCGAACCGATTACCGAATCCGATTGCGAACGGACCGAACCGATTGCAAAACCGAACCGTACGACACCTCGTTTACGACCTTTATGATCACCGTCCTCCCTCATCCCCATCCTCATGGGTCAGGAACAGGAGCACTGGGGGAGGGGGAAGAGGAAGGGTTGAGGAGAGCGTTGGGGAGGAGGGCCGAGACGAACTGTTGAGGGGAAGGGTTGACAGGACATGTTTAGGAGGAGAGTTCGACCAGGGTCGAGTTTTTCGTCGCCTCCTCACCCTCCTCCCGCATCCTCCTCATGTTCGTCCTCCTCATGCTCCTCCTCATCCTCATCAGCCTCCTCGTCATTATCCGTGGCCATTTTGGCTCAAGATGACGACCTGGGGGGCTGTCCAGCCTCCAGGCCGAAGGGAGACCTCTGGACCGAGGACAGTTCCCAGACGGGCGTCGGGCGCGCGCGCGGCACTGCTGCAGCCATGGGGAGTGGCGGCGGCGAACGCGGGGCGGGCAGCGCCTGGTCGGGGACCCCGAATCGCCAGAGGGTGCCCCCGTGGAAGAGGAGCAGCAGTGGCAGTCGCCCTCCTCGCAGCAGCTACGTGGTGTGTGACGGGTGCAGCAGATGGCGCTACTGCAAGAAAATCACCAGCAGGGGCGACCTCTGCATCTGCGGCAAGAATCTCGCCTGCCTCGTTCCCGACGGACATGTCTTCCGTAACGAGGATGGTGGGTGGCTGGCAGCACAGCCCCAAGGAGGAACCTCGCCCAGGATCAGCTGGGCAGATGGTTGGCAGCCAGGTGGTGGTGCAGGCGGGAAAGGACAAGGAGGCCAACGCCAGCCACCACCTCACGACAAGACTGTCGATCTCAAGGCCGCCGCCGCAGCAGCTTACAGCAAGCTCAGCAAGGACGACCCGCTCAGGCAGCACTACGAGGCCCTCTGGCCAGAGCTCGCCGCAGCCAAGCCACCAGCAGAACAACCAGTCGTTGGGTTCAAGGCAGTGGAGGCAGCTGCTCGACGCTTGGACAAACTCCAGAAGAAAGTACGATCGGCAGGGGAGCAAGTGGAGAGTGCCCAGCAGTACTTGGCTGAGAGTGAACGCAAGCTTCGTGAAGCTATGGAAGCCTCTATTGCAGCCGAAGATGAGTTCGACAAGCTCAAGGCCACAGTCGGCAAACAAGAGGCACCAGCTGAACCTGCAGCCGAGAAGCCAACTCTGGCAGCCCTCCTGGAGCAGTTCGAGCATGAGCCTGACGACTTCCACAAGTGGTCCGAGCCCGACAAGGAGGTCTGGCGAGCAGCAAAGGCCAAGGGCGAGCGCACGGCCCAGACGGTCAAGGAGCACGAGGAGGAGACGGCGAAGCACCTGCGACTTCTGGAGGAAGGGACGGCCATGCACCAGGAGCAGCTGCGCCAGCTCGAGCAGGCCCGCACCAAGCGCCTGTCAAAGAGCGGAGAGCAAGACCCAGAAGCAGCAGAAGCCCCACCAGGCAAGCGTGTCTGCGCCGCCAGCCCAGCCCCTCAGCGAGGTGCCACCGCGCGCGCTGAGGCAGCAGGGTCAGCCGCCGCGGCTGCGCCCAACGGCGCCGCAGCAGCTGCCCAACCAGAAGCAGGCGCAGCAGAACATGACAAAGCTGAAGAACGCCGAGCCAGAGTGGAGGCCCACATCCAGGAGGCGCGAGAGAAGGTCTCGCAGGCTAGGCGCGCTGAGACAGTCGTCGACGCAGAAGGGCAAGGTGACCACTCAGCAGGGTAGCCGCCCCAAGGCGAGCGCGAAGAAGGCTCGCCGCCCTTACCGCATCGACTTCTTCAATGTCACGACCTGGGGCCCCCAGGCACAGGGCTACCTCATGGAGATCAACGGTACCAAGGACAGGGGCATCATTGGCATCGCGGAGCACCACCTCCGCCAGCCTGCGCAGATAAGCAAGGCAAGAGCGGCGCTCAGGAGGAATGGCGTGCACAGCTACTGGACCAAGGCGCGGCCAGGAGAAGGAGAAGGCACTCGAGGAGGCACGTGTGCCATCACGCGAGGATCCTTGGACATCCAGGGCAGGATCGCGGGTTTCGACGAGCACTACCTGCACGAGGACGGCAGCGACGTCGCGGTGGTGATCTCCAACCTGCACAAGGTCCGTTTCGCAGTGGCTTTCGTCTACCTCGAGTGTGGGACGGGCTTTGGAGAGAGGAACGTCGACATCCTCTGCGACCTGCTTCAGGAAATGGCCGTCTGGGGAGGGCCATGGGCAGCGCTTGGGGACTTCAACGTGACGCCGTCGGAGTTCAACGACAGCACTTGGTCCAGGGTGCTGAATGCTCGAGTAGCTGCGGCGGAGGATGGCGCCCCCACATGTTTCCCAGCAGGAGGTGAAGCCAGGTGCATCGACTTCGCGCTTATCTCGCAGGGCCTGGCGCCGTATTTTTACCAGCTAGAGCTGCTCAGGGCCGTGCCGTGGAAGCCGCGCATCGGCATCCGCTTGAAGTTGAAGGGGCGGCCTCTCATGCTGAAGGGCAGGGTACTTCGCAGGCCAGCAGCCATCAAGCCACCAGTCACAGTCGAGAGAATGCCGAAGTCCAGAGCCGCTTGCAGACGAGCGGCGCGCGGAGGCCAGGAGGCCATGCGCCGACGTCAGCAAGCGTTGGCAGAGGCAGGATGCGACCTGGACGAGAACGACATGGAGCCAGTACCGCAGCTGTACTACGACAAGGAGGTCCAGCACGTCATCCCTGACGAGCTGTGGCAGGCCACCTCCGAGCGGGTCAGCTTGCGTGCCTGCGACGAGTTGCCCCAGCACTTGCAGCACGCTGTCGTCGGCAAGATGATGGAGCGGGACATGCTGGACCTGGGGCAACAGTACGACCGCTTCGCAAGCACCCTCGAGCTCAGCCTGTGCGAGAGCATCGGCATCCCAGAGGAAGAGCGAGGACGACATCTCGGGCACAGCAGGCCCCCGAGCTACAAGAGCGTGAGCATCAAGGACACCGTCACCTCTGCGCCATGGGCAGGGGTCGAAAGGAATATCCATGCGTGGTGGGCGGAGATCTCCTCCTTGGTGCGGCAGCTCTCGCACCATGATGCCCGAGCGCAGGAGGCAGCAGCAAGTCGACAGGGCAAGACCCAGGCACTTCCCGATGAGGACTCGGGGGGAGGACAGGGCCCGTCGGAGTCGGAGCTTGGCCCCGTCATGTCTGGCAGCCAGGTAGGCCACGAAGACGAGGTCCCCGCACCAGCCATGAGCCCATCGAAGAGCTCGGGAGGAAGCTCGGTGGATCGCGCCCCCACCGAGCGGGGTGAGGGCCCCCCCGAGCTGCAGCAGCGGAGCGCAGGCAGTGGAGGCGCAGCAGGAGGCGGCGGCAGTAGCACCAAGGACATCGCGAATCAGCCAGCGCTTGAGGAGGTCTCCCCTCCTCAGGCTGAGGTCCAGGAGCTCACAGAGGGGCCAGCCCAAGAGAGCCCAGAGCGACCCTGCCCCAGCCCAGCATCGCCGCCAAAGGACGCGTCCTGGACCTCCGAGACGGGTACAGCTTTCCAAGAGATGAGGGCGAGGCGGCCTGGCCCAGAGAAAGAGGTAGGCCCCTCCGCACTCTCCTCGGGGCACCCATTCCCCACACAGGCGAGCGCAGCGGACCATGGGAAGGCAGCCGGCCCCTGCTCTGAGATGGGTCAGGGGTTCCCGTCCCCCGAGTGCGCCGCCGCGGGGCGCGTCCCAGACCTCGACGTGGGACCAACCCACAGCAGCGCAAACAGCTGCCCAGAAGGGATGCAGAGGGGTGCCCTTCCCCCACCAGCAGGACGCAACACCATGGACATCCAAGATCACGACCCCTTCGAGGATGAGGAGGACTACTTGGAGTACCGCCAGGAGATCGCAGACCAGGAGAACAGCGAGGGGTACCACCAGCACATCGAGGGGCAGCAGGCCAGCCTCGAGTTCAGCCAGACCGTTCGCCGTCGTGCAGCTGGACCTGCTTTTCCCCCACCAGCAGGACGCAGCACCATGGACGTCCAAGACCACGACCCCTTCGAGGAGGATGAGGACTGCTTGCAGTACCACCAGGAGACCGCAGATCAAGAGGACTGCGACGGGCACCACCAGCTCATCGAGGGGCAGCAGGACAGCATCGGCTACGGCCAGACCGTTCGTCGTCATGCAGCTGGATCTGGTGAAACTGCCCCAGGTGACACGCACTGCTCACCTCCTCTGCCAGCTGGCACTCAGGAGGCAGAGGGTACCGATCACCTGGGGAGTCAGAACCAAGCGCCGCCAGGCCCAGAGGCAGAGGAGCAACGAGATATGGGCCTGCCCCCACCAGACCTCTGGAATGATGACCAGCACCAGCGGGAGCGGGAAGACTACGTGGCCATGAGAGACGACCTGGAGTACTGGGCGGCCATCTGGATGGATAACTTGGTGCAGCTCCCCACGGACAACAGCAACTGGATGCAGATCTGTGTGCCGTTCCTGGAGACCATCTTGGGTGGCGGAGGCAACAATGGCACGGTGAGACTGCTCAGGCGTAGGTACCAGCAGGCCGGCCTCAGCCACATCATCAAGGACCTCTGCGAGCGAGCATGGAGACATGCAGAACCACGACGCCGAGGCTTTCTCCAAGGTCTTACGCGAGAGGAGCCGACGAGGAGGCACGAATTGGAAATGATGCATTGGAGGGAGCTCGCAAACCTGCGGAGGCTCATGCGAGAAGTTATAGGCGAACGAGCACCAGAAGGAGCATCGCGAAGACAACTACATGATGCTCCAGGAACAGGCAGTGGCCAGAGTAGCCGCCGAGAGCTGCAGGTCCGCACCCACAGTGGCCACCAGACGCAGCAGCATATCAACACAAGACGGCAGCTCGCGCAGCAGCTCAACCAGCCTGACCCAGGCAGGCTGAACGAAGAAGGTGCAGCAAAGGACCAGCAGCAGGCCCTCCTCACAGACCTGCACGCGATAGCAGAGGGCGCCCTCGTGGACCCAGGGACAATCAGCAGGGTAGCAGAGGAAGTAAAGAGCATGGCCAAGCTACTCACAAAGGCGGTGAAGAAGGCGTACATCCACTGGGTGCACGACGCCACGGCAGGCAGTGCGAAGATGGCCCACGCCTACACCAAGGCAGCGGAGCGCAGCCACCTGGAGGACATCCTTGAGCACGAGGGCCAGGTCATCAACCACCCGCAGCAGCTGGTGGACTTGCGCAAAGAAGCATGGCAACGCAGGTGGACACGAGATGCACAGAAGGCCGAGAGGATCCAAGAGGCGCTGGCCAAGCTGAGGCAGGCTGCCTTGGCCCAAGAGAATGCCCTCGAGCCCATCAGCAAGGACATCATAGGCTCCATCATCCAGCACCTGAAGCGCAATGCTGGCCAAGGAGCGGACTGGTGGAGGGCTCCAGAGCTCAAGGCCATGGGCGCCCAGGGGCTGGAAGACTTCGTGCAGTGCCTGACCAGCTGTGAGCAACGGGCAGCGTGGCCGTGGCAATTCTACTTGGTGCTGGAGCTGCTGCTGGGCAAGAAGCCAGGAATCGGCGGTGAGCGCCCCATCGGCCTCATGCCCATGCCGTACCGCATCTGGAGCGCAGCCAGGAGGCCCATAGTAGCCACCTGGAGCAAGGCAGCGGCGGGCTTCTGGGATACGGCAGTAGCTGGCTCCTCAGCGCTACGAGTGGCAATGCACAGACTGATGAGGGCAGAAGCCGCCACGGAGATGGGCTTTCATGCAGCAGGAGTGTTCTACGACGCGGCAAATTTCTACGACAACATAGGCCTCGACCAGCTGATCGAGCAGGCCAGCGTCCTCCAGTACCAGTTGCTGCCGCTGGCAATGGCCGTGCAGATGTACCTTGCGCCCAGGGCCATCATGGCCCACAGCCTCTTCTCGGACATCTTCGAGCCTGCCAACAGCATGGTAGCTGGCTGTGGCCAAGCGGTAGACCTCACCAGACCGCTTTTGTATGGCATCCTGGATGCAGCGCACAGGCACCACATCTTCGTCGTCATGCAGCAGTACCTGGACGACTTGGCCCTGCAGGTAGAGGGTGCGCGGCGGCAGGTCATTGACCAGATCAAGCACGTGGCAGCGCTGGTGCACGATGGATTCAAGCAGCTCTCGATACCCATCTCTGTCAAGACGGCAGTGGTGGCCTCGGACAAGGACTTCCAGGCAGAAGTCGCCAGCATCCTGGACAGCCTGGGCCCCCAAACAAGCGACCAGGTGTAGTGCGCGACCTCGGCGTGGACACCAGCCTTGGCAAGCAGCTGCGGCGACCCGCCCATGCCGCGCGCCAGGCCAAGGCCATGCAGAGGGTGGCCAGGCTCAAGGACCTAGCGAAGACGGACGCCAGAGGCGCGGCAAAGGTCTATTCAGCAGGTGCCTACTGCCAGCAGGCCTGGGACTTACCAGCGCACGGCATCACGCCCACGGAGGCGAAGTCGGTCAGGGCTACGGAGGCAGCGCTCCTCACAGGCGGACACAAGGCTGGACGCTGCACGTCCACCATCCTCCTGATCCAGAGGGGGATGCAAGAGGCAGTAACCCGAGCCATCGTCGACCAGATCAAGCAGTTCTGGCTCACCATAGTCGACCACCCGACGGAGCTCAATAGGTGCCAGAGAGGCTGGCTCCTGCTCTACGCCAAGCTTGGCGCCCTGGAACCCAACCGCAGGTGGCAGCAGGTCAAGGGGCCTATGGCAGGGGTCATTGCGCAGCTGCTTGGGTTCGGCTGGATACCGCGACGCCTGGACAGCTGGATCAGCCCAGCAGGTGACGAGTGGGCCTACAAACCAGATGACATTCCTCACTTCGGCGCGCTCCTGCATGAAGTCCAGCAGAGCGCGCGGCAGCAGCTCTGGCAGCAGGCAGCTGGCCATCGCAGTGGAGAAGGACTTCAGGCTGGAGGCGACCCCTATCAGCTGCAGCGCCACCTGAGGAGGAGGAGGCGCAAAGGACAGCATGCAGAGGCAGCCATGCTGGAGACCATAGCGGTGGCGGGCATCTGGACCAGGGAGCGCCGCAGGGCGGCCAACTTCAACCAAGAAGGCGACGACACCTGCGCGAGATGCGGCGAGGCGATAGAGACAGAGGAACACCGCTACTACGCATGCCCTGCCAACGCAGAGATAGGGCACAGCAGTGACACCGACCTGGCGAAGAAGGCGAAGGACGCGCTGGACCAGCGGCAAGACCTGCACTTCTGGCTCCGAGGCATCCCGCCAGCGGCCTGGGCAGCCAAGGTTGACCCAGACGAGGACGCGGCGAAGGCGGCGCAGATCTTCTGCACCAGCGAAGAGGCTCAGGCGGCAGCCCAGTCAGGACACAAGGTTCGAGCAGACTATGTCTTCACGGACGGCTCAGGTGGTGCAGGGGAAACGGCCAAGGACCCCCGCCTCAGACGCTGCGGCTGGGCAGTGGTGGCCTTCAGGTACGACGAACAAGGACGTCCGCAGGAAGTGGCTGCCTGGTACGGCACGATCAGGGCACCGCACACGGTGCCGCGGGCAGAGCTCACCGCCATGAGCAAAGCCATCGGGTACACCACGGCGGCGACAGCCAGGGGGCTCAACATAGTCAGCGATTGCACATACGCCCTGGACGCACTCAAGCAGATCCAGGATCCTGAGGATCTGGACTACAGGAGCACGAACTACGACCTCTGGCTCCAGACGAAGCAGCAGCTGCAGAACAGCACGGACACCATCATGGGCCACCACATCCCAAGCCACCTGATTGAGCACCCAGCTGAGCTGGAGAGGTGGAATGGTCCCACCTGGTGGGTCATAGGAAACGAGATGGCAGACAAGTACGCAGGCTGGGGAGCGGAGCATGGAGCACTGGATCCAGCCATCATCGCGCAGCAGCAGATCAGGGACCATATCACCATGGCGGTGCAAAACCGGCTGCTGGCCATCAACATGGCGGTGACGGTGGAGGACCCCAACAAGGCCCCTCAGCGTCCCAAGGCCAAGCGCCGAAAGCCGCAGACGGCGAGGGACAGGGCAGCCCAGCTGGGACACGACTTGCGCAAGCTACATCCGCGATGGTGGTGTGCAACGTGTCGCAGTGGCCCAGCCAAAGGACAAAGCATCAGAGACTGGTTGGCAGAGACGGGAGAATGCCTCGGGAAGTACGGCGGCCACCAGGACCAGCACGGCAACGTCAGGCTCGACTTCAAGGCGGTGCAGATCGGCACGCAGGTGGTGCACGTCTCCCACAAGACGCAGTTCACCCATGGCTGGCTCTGGTGCGAGAAATGTGGCGGCACCAGCTACCTTGGGGACCACAAGAGCAGGATCGTGGCAGGAGTGGCAAGGAAGCTGGCAAGGCCATGTCAGCCCCCAACAGCAGCAGGGCGGCGGGTCTTGGAGGACATGCAGAGGGGCAAGCTGCCAAGAGGAGCTAAGCCAGCAGCAGACCCAGCTGATGAGGGTATCGACGAGATCACCATGCCTGGAGATTTCAAGCTCGGCCTGAGTAACCACGAGGCGATCGACCTGGACGGGGGCAGCTCAGAGGCAGGGGACCCGCAGCCAGCTCCACAGCAGCCACCCAGCCATCCGCACTCTGTCGTCCACGCCAGCTGGAGGCTCGTGGACCACATGGAGGGCTACGCGGAGCAGTGGATGAACATGGTCGACCAAGAGGTCTGGGACGACATGGACGACTGGATGGAGCATTGCGTACCGTACTTCCTGGCCATCACCAATGTGGGTGGCGGAATAGACACGCAAGAACAGACCAGGGCCGTCACCGTGCAGGAGCTCCAGCAGATCAAGGACTTCTGCGAAGAAGTCTGGCGCAACACGCACCGCACGCGACGGAGGCTCATGACCAGGATGCTTACCCTCCCGTATGGTACAAGGCAGCAGGCAGCAATAATGCACATGGACGCTTTCCAGCACAGAAGGAACAACATCCTAGCGCACAGCATCCCCAGCAGCGAGCGCAGGCCGCTGCCGAGAACAGCGGAGGCCAGCCGAGAGTGGTCACCAGAGAACCTGGACGATGATGACTCGACCCCAGACAGTGAAGCCCCAGAGCTGGAGGGTGAGCCGAGCAGCCAGGAGATGGATACCATGGCGGGACCTGATCAGAGGCACGACGCCAACAGCCTGTTGCAGACGGCTGTGCAGGTGGCAGTAACGCTGAGCAAGCCAGTGGGGCCCGACCTGATGAAGTTCGTGAGCGAAGCCGACGAGGCCGGCCTGCTCCACCCAAGGCTTCGACACAACAAAGGAGAAACTGACCAGGACCCCGGGCAGGAGGTGGCGTGGCTCGAGAGGAACAGGCTCGAGCAGCTCATGCAGTCGCTGGCAGGCTGCTGGAGCCAGAAAGAAGGCGAACAGGGCTGGCCATCGTGGCAGGCTGCGTGCGTGCCCCATGTGCTGAGGGCGCTGCAGACTGGCGTCTACCAGAGGCTGTTCAGCAACGTGTCAGGGCCGAGCCGCCAGCGCAGCCAGCGCCGAGCGGCGGAGGAGATCTGCCGCCTGGCATGGCTCAACAGCGGAGAGGCGCGCAGGCAGATCCAGCAGCAGGACCCGAAGGAGGCAGAGCGGCGCAGAGCAACGGCTGAGCAGTTCCTGGGCGTGACTGAGCCAGTGGTGAGGAGCCGCAGCCCGCGACCGCAAGCAGCAGGGCGAGAGCCAAGCAGGGCTCCAGCCAGACAGCCGAGGAGGAACCCAGAGGCCAGGGCCACCGGCAACCCCGCCGAGCTGCGCACGGCAACTCCAACGCCCGAGCCCGAGAGGCCCAGGGTACCCAGGGTACCGCAGCCAGAGCGGTCCCTGGAGGCGGGAAGGGCGGAGGAGCAACAGAAACCCTCTAGCAGGCCCCTGTGCGGAGATGGAACAGGCCACCATGGACCCCTGCGCGGCGAGGGGTTAGGCCGCGGAGGACCCCAGCGTGGCGAGGGGTTAGGCCACAGCCCTGCGCCAGACGGGATGCAGAGGGGTGCCCGTCCCCCACCAGCAGGACGTAGCACCATGGACATGGCAGACCTCGACCACTTCCCTGAAGAGGAGAACAGCGAGGATTGCCCCCAGCAGCCCGTAGACAAGCAGGACAGCGATGACAACCACCAGCAGATCCCAGATGCACAGCACAGCATAGGGTGCCACCTGGCAGACCGCAGAGGACCCCAGCGCGGCGAGGGGTTAGGCCACGGAGGACCCCAGCGCGGTGAGGGGTTAGACCGCAGTACCAAAGGCAAGCAGAGGCTCGAGGCGGAGGTCCCTGACGAGCCCAGTGGGCATGACGCGGGCGTCTTGACCAACAGTGTGGTAGACAGGACCTCGCAACTAACAGAGCGGACCCATACCCTGGGAAATCGACAGACTGAACGCGAGGGGGAGGGCTTGGCCCGCGGATACCACGTGAACCGCGAACACGCGAGTGGCATAGTCGGGGGACCTCGCCTGAGCCAGTGGGCAGTAGCACCGAGGATGGGGACAGTGCGAGACTCGGCGCTCCCCCGCGTGGCGAGGGGTTAGGCCACAAAACAGCGCAGCCCGAGACGACGGCAGATTACGACGACACAGACCTGCAGCGGGACTTGGAGAAGACTTTCGGTGACTTTCCCCAGCGCGGTGAGGGGTTAGACCGCATGGAACCCCAGCGTGGCGAGGGGTTAGGCCACGGAGGGCCCCAGCGCGGTGAGGGGGTAGTCCGCAGGGCCAGATGCAAGCAGAGGCTTGAGGCGGAGGTCCCTGACGAGCCCAGTGAGCATGACGCGGGCGTCTTGACCAACAGTGTGGTAGACAGGACCTCGCAACTAACAGAGCGGACCCATACCCTGGGAAACCGACAGACTGAACGCGAGGGGGAGGGCTCGGCCCGCGGATACCACGTGAACCGCGAACGCAGCGAGTGGCCTCGTCGGGGGACCTCGCCCGAGCCAGTGGGCAGCAGCACCGCGGACGGGGACAGTGCGAGACTCGGCGTACCCCAGCGCGGTGAGGGGTTAGACCGCAGCAGGCCCCAGCGTGGCGAGGGGTTAGGCCACGGAGTACCCCAGCGCGGTGAGGGGTTAGACCGCAACGATCCCCAGCGTGGCGAGGGGTTAGGCCACGGCGGGCCCCATAGTGGTGAGGGGTCAGACCGCAGCAGGCCCCTGCGTGGCGAGGGGTTAGGCCACATGGGACCCCAGCGCGGTGAGGGGTTAGACCGCAATAGGCCCCTGCGCGGCGAGGGGTTAGGCCACGGAGCACCCCGGCGCGGTGAGGGGCTAGACCGCAGCAGCCCCCAGCGTGGCGAGGGGTTAGGCCACGATTTTCCCCAGCGCGGTGAGGGGTTAGACCGCACCGACCCCCAGTGTGGCGAGGGGTCAGGCCACGACGGACCCCAGCGCGGTGAGGGGTTAGACCGCAACAGACCCCTGCGCGGCGAGGGGTTAGGCCACCACGGAGCACCCCAGCGCGGCGAGGGGCCAGACCGCAGCAGGCCCCAGCGTGGCGAGGGGTTAGGCCACGGAGGACCCCTGCGCGGCGAGGGGTTAGGCCGCAATGCACCCCAGCGTGGCGAGGGGTTAGGCCACAGCCCTGCGCCAGGCAAGGCGGCCGTGAAGGCCCACGAGTCCAGGGACCAGCGGCCAGGGCGGTCCCTGGAAGAGCGCAGAGCGGAGGAGCGGCTGCGGCCGTCCATCAGGCTGCTCCTCAAGCTCTGAGAGGGCGGCGGCAGCATATCTTCAGACTGCCGCTGTCCACGGGGCGACTCCATGAGTCATTGAGTGGCGGCAGCACGACGCCGTGAGATGAGGCCGCTGGCCCACCCCGCCTCGGGCCGTTCTGCCTGCGCGGGGTGCCGAGACCAGGGGCGCCCACTCACGGGCGGGAGCACGCGGGTTTAAAAGCCTCCTCGTCATCCACTTTATCGTTATAATCATTCTCCTCCGTCCTCTTCCTCATCCTCCATTCCTCTTTATCCTCCTCTCCCTCTTCCATCCCTCCCTCCCTCTCTCCCTCAATCCCTCCTCCCTCCTCTCTCTCTCTCTCTCTCTCTCTCTCTCTCTCTCTCTCTCTCTCTCTTTTGTTTCTCTCTCTCTCTCTCTCTCTCTCCTTCTCCTTGTCCTTTTCCTCCTCCTCACCCTCCTCATCCTGCCCCCTCCGCCTGAGTTATTGGAGCATCCCCAGGCCAGGTGAACGACGGCCAGGACATATTCCTCAGAGTCGCAGCTCAAAACATCCAACCTGTTAACGCTTCCGTCGGGCACCCAAGGTGAAACGTTTGCAGCGCACGCGCTCAGCCCGTAGTGCCTGTGACAAGATCATGGAAACCATTCGCACCAGCCCCCTGCTCTTTCATCCTCCTTTGCATTATCGCCCTCCCACTTCTTACCTTCATGCTCCTCCTCATGTTCATCCTCCTCCTCCCCTTCCTCCTCCTCGCGTTCCTCATCCTCCTCATCGTCCTCCTCATCCACGTCATTCGCGTCATCCTCATGCTCATCCTCCTCGTCCACCTGCTCCTCCTCATCCTCATCCTCTTCCTCATCCTCATCCTCATCCTCACCCTCCTCGTCCTCCTCTTCCTCCTCCTCCCTTCCTCCCTCCCTCCCTCTCTCCCCCTCACCGGCTCCTTCTCACCCACCTGTTCCTCCTCATCCTCGCCCAATCCCTCCTCATCCTCAGGCTCCTCATGCTTCTCCTACTCCTCCTCCTCTTCATATTCCTCGTCATCCTCATCTGTGTCCTCCAGTTCCTCCTCATCCTCCTCACATTCTCATTCTCCCCCTGATCATCCTCCTCTTCCTCCATCCCTCCCTCCCTTCATCCCTCCCTTGTTCCTCAATTCTCCTCCTACCTCCGTCCGCCACCTCCCTCAGCCCTTCGCCTGACAGAGTCATGAGAGCACCGCCACGCCAGGTGATCAACTGTCAGAACATATCCTCAGAACCGCAGCCGGGAAACTCCAATCTGCTGACGCCTCGAGCTGGCACTCAAGGCAACATCGACTGCACCGAATACATTTACTCCATAGCACTCGCGACAAACGGTCCGAGACCATGCTAATCCGCAGCTTCCTGCTCTCCCCCTCCTCCACGCCCTCCTCATCATCACCCTCCTCGCCATAATCCTCCCCCTGATTCTCGTCTTCCTCCTCCTCATCTTCCTCCTCCTCCTCCTCATCATCCCCCACTCAACCACACCGAGAAGAAGTGGAACAGCAAGGACGTGGCCCTCACCCAGTGCATCACGACGATTGCGAAGCTCACCCTCCAGAGCGCACAGCGGCAGCGCCTCACGACAGCGACGGTGGTCGGCACTCTCACGACGCCCAAGGAGCACACCGTCATCGTGGCCCTCGAGAACACGCTCGACCAGTACCGCAAGGAGGTCAACACCGCCCGCGCGAAGGGCATCGAGGCGCTGCGGGCTCTCGGGGGCCCCGCGGCGTCCCTCGCCGTCGCGCTGCTCGAGACGTTGGCGGCCCTCGGCATCGGCAAGGCGCTCAGGATGCAGATCAACGACTACCTCGCGAAGGTCGAGCCCACGGACGGCTCGGACCCCCTCATCACTCGCGGGGCCCTCGACCTCGAGGTGCAGGCCGTCAAGATCGAGTCCCAATACGACGAGACGAAGGCCAAGCTGATACTGGCCGCCCCCCACCGGGCCATGCGGGGGGTCGTCACACTTGCGTTCGCGGCAGAGGGTACAGCCACACGGATGACGGGGGTCGCCCCCCCGGGCTGGCTCGAGGACGAACTGTCGACGTGGATCGACGCCCTGACCAAATAAGATTTGTGCACGGTGGGACACTTCATGCTGATGCTGGCCCAGTGCGCCCGCTGCTCCCTTCGACTGGCTCCTCGGCCTCGGCGGCCTCGGCACCCGCGGCGCGCATTCCTGACCCCGGCCCTGTACCCTCGGACTCATCAGAGCAATGGCCGTGGGGTGACTAGGCACATTGTGTTTACGGATTCTGACCTCGCCTCTCGCTCCCCCCCGAGCCAGCAGCAGTTCTTTCTTGTGTATCGCACCGTGCAGCGTAGTAGGCGTCGCAGGCGCGCAGTCCGTTTTTTTTTTTTCCCCCCCCCCCGCGGCCCTAGCAAGGCGTTCGGCCACAGGAACAATGCCTTCTTGAGGCTTCCTCCCCCACAGGCCTGCTCTGCTCCGCTCTGGCGTGTCGCGCCAGTGCGCACGCCCCATGCCTGCGCAGCGGACCGAGAGATGACGACCGCGGTCCTGTGACAGCCCAGAGAGCTCCCGTTGTGCCAATTGGTCCCAGCTTGTGGCCCACTCGTCGAGTAAAAAAAGGGTAAACATCATCACCCACTTGTTCCTCCTTGTCCTCCTCATCCTGCTTTTTGTTTCACTCTTTCTTCCACGGCTCCCCGCCACCCATGCAACAACGCGTCACGGTCTGCTGTCGCCCCCAGCGCTCTCGGCGGAGGGGGTCTAACGCGCTTCCTCTGCCAACCCCCTCCTTCCCCTGCGGAGAGTGGCCCACCATGGTCCACCCCTTCTCCCCGCGCCGGGCGCCCTGCGACCGATTGGATCGTCCAAGGTGGCCTGATATGTTTCGAGGAGGGACAGCCCAGGCTGGCTTCCAACATGGGCTCCAAACAGTGCCACTGGAGGGGAAGGGGGCGAAGGCGAGGTCTTTTGCGGCGGCGCCCTGGCGAGCGGGGAGCCAAACCGACTCGGAGGTGACCCTGTTCCTCGCCCACTGCATCCCAAATCCCAAATTCCGAATTCGCGTCCTCCTGCTGTTCCTCCTCCTCCTCATACCCCCCAGTCGACGTGTGCTCCTCCTCCTCCTCCCCCTCCTCCTCCTCCTCCTCCTCCTCCTTTCGTCCTCTGAGGAATATTCCCAGATCCCGTAAGATGTCTCACGTACCCCATCGCAATCATCACAAACCTTTTCGGATGCTGCACGACTTCCTCAGGAATCCTCGTAGATCCCCTAGGCTTCCTCACGACTCCCGTATGGGTCTTCGCAAGTGGATCCTCTACGGATTCCCACGGACCCCTTTCGAATCCTTACGCATCCGCTGGGGATCCCCATGAATCTCCTCGGAATCTTCACGAATCATTATTTCGATGGGGTCCTCGCGAATCCTTGAAGAATCCGCACAGCTCCTTCAAAATTCCTTACAAATCTTTTCGGAATTAGGGCGAATCTTTGGGAAACACTTGCAAATCCTACGAATCCCCAGGGAATCTGGACGAACCCGTAGGGGACCCTCACGAATCCGATAGGCACTCGCCAGGCGCGCCCTTTCAGAAGCCTTGTAGAAGCTCTTCAGACATCTCTCGCAAACCTGGCAGAAACCTTCGTCAGCTTGTCAGAACCATCGCAGAACCCTTTCTTAAGCCCTTCAGAAGCCCTGCAGATTTTGGAAGCCTCGCAGAAGCCTCGCACAACACATTCACACTCCCTTGCGGTTTCAAAAGGTGAGGATGCCGTATAATAACCCAATGCAACCAGGGAGTAATCCAATTGCCTCGGGTGAAGCCCGACGAACCCGGGAATCCAATTCAGTCTCCTTCTGACCCCTCCTGTCCGCGGGCGAGGGGGGGTTCTGACGTGCGCATCCTCTCCTCGTCGTCCACGGGGGCCGGGGTTGGGGGAGGCACAGGGAGGGTGCGGCAAAGAGGGGGGAGTCCAGGGGGGAGGGTGGCGCTCCCGTGCGTCCCCCTTATCCACAGTGGCGGGGTGGGGCCGGGAAAGAGGTGGGCCCGCAAGGGCAAGGGGTCCACAGGGGTGTGTATGACGCGCACCGCCCTGCCCACAGGGAGGATTGAGCCTGGCAGGGGGGGGAGTCCGCGGGCCCCTCCTCCTTGGTTCGCCATGTCCCCCCGGTCCCAGAGGGGGAATCGGCGCAGAAAGTCAGGACTGCGGCTACCCTCTCCAGGGGGGGGATAGGAGGGGGAGGGGCAAACATCTCGCGCGCCCGGAACCTCAAGGGGTCAGCAAGTTTCAACAGATCGTGGTTTGCCTCACGAGTTAGTTATCGCTCTCACTTCTGGAATTTTCGACCCCACCCATCAGAATGTCAATCGACTTCGTTATCTACTTATCGATCAATCTGAGAATTGGTCTCCCCATATGTGCACCGTTCTCCCTGGTCAATCGATGTACCGGTCTGTGTATCTATACGCTGGTCTCAGTGTGTATCGGTATCACCACCGTTGATCTCATCATCAATCAATTCGTCGGTGTCCTCAGTTCTGGCAATGTGTTGGTCGCAGTGTATATCTACCCATCTAATCATTTCTGGTCGATGCAGTATTTTTAAATACATAATAGATAGATAGATGTGTGTGTGTGTGCGTGTGTGTGTGTGTGCTCCAGGGTATGGCGGTCCACTTTGGGCCCTCGGGCCGGCCGCCTTCCCCTTTGGCTGGTTCTCGTCCGACTTTCTGGCGACTCTTCGGGACTGCTGGCGCTGCGACCTCAGCGGTCCAGCGTTTGCGGTGTCCTCGCCGCCTTTGCTGGCCTGCGGCCTTTTTGTGCCTTGTCCTGCTGTTTTGTCAGTCGTCTGCCCATGGCATCGCTGCAGTTTCTACTGCGCCCCCCTTCGCCCTCCTGGCGTGCCGTTTCTTTGCCAGTTGGCATTGTGTACCTCGTCTGCCCTCCTGGTCATCCTGAGAGAGCTGCGTGTTTTTGAAGCTGGATCCGGCTTAAAAGCACGCAGTTCTCTCCTTCGCCCTCCTGGCGTGCCGTTTCCTTGCCAGTTGGCATTGTGTACCTCGTCTGCCCTCCTGGTCATCCTGAGAGAGCTGCGTGTTTTTGAAGCTGGATCCGGCTTAAAAGCACGCAGTTCTCTCCTTCGCCCTCCTGGCGTGCCGTTTCCTTGCCAGTTGGCACTGCGTAGCTCTTCTGCCCTCCTGGTCGTTCGTTCCCGGATTCCCTATGGCTGGCTGCGGCGCTGCTCGCCCTGAGCGGCCTGAGGACCTGGCCGTGAGTCGCGCGCGCGCGTTCTCCATTCCGGCTCTGGACGCCCCGTCGCTGCGCGCGGGGCCGCGACGCCAAACAAGTGTGTGTGTGTGTGTGTGTTTGTGTGTGTGTGTCCCGCGCTGCCGCCGGTCCCCTGGTACAGCAGCCGCCGCGGGCCCGCCGGCGGGGCTGGCCGCGCCACGTGCTCGGGGCGTGACCTGTCCCCCTGAGCGGCTCGCTCCCTCTGCCCCCTCTTTCGGCCGCGTCCTCCGCCTGTTTCCCTCCCTCCTGCATGGTGGCACAATGCGCTACAACAGCACTCCCGTTTTAGGCCTTCCCGCTAGTGCAGACGACTCCTGCCTCGCCGCCGACGCAAAAAGTGTGCGCGTGTGCGTTTTTCATCGTGTGTGTCTTTTATTACGCACTATCTGTTTACTTATCAATATACCAACTCCAGGGGAATCACGCGGCGATGCACCAATCGTGGGACACTGGCGAGGCACCGACGGGACAAACGCGTGACAGCTACTAGGCAACTGCCGGACAAGTGCAGGACAACCGCCAGGGCACGGCAGGACCAGCGGGGGGGGATTTTTTCGTACGTCTTGGCCGTGGCTTCGGCCATCGTCGTCTTCGCGCAGCTTCCCTTCGCCCGCACGCGGGACACGACCCGACACCGAAGCTAACTTCCCGGGGGCCACGTCGCTTTCACCCCCAATTTCCATATGACAGTCTGAATGGTTCTGCTTTTCGACGCCGTTCAGATCAGTCATTCATTCATCGGTCGCGTGGCCGTGCCTTGGCGGTGTCCCGACTTGCCCTTCCATGAGCTCCGCTCCCAGCCAAATTGGCTCGGACTGTCCCCATACTGCCCCGGTGCATTTTCCAAAAGGTCCGACCCCGGCCCGATGTTGCCAGGGCATGCCCAGATTGTGTAGCGACTCGTCTAACTTCAGTTTTGACCCCGCCCAGCGAGACCCCCGAAGTCCCGAGGTTACATCCCTGCCCGCGTGGCACTACAACTTCACGCTCTTGCTTCCAACCCAAAGCGTCCATTGGTGTCGCCGGAATACGCGGGGGGAGCATTTCCACAGTTCACATTGCAATGCTCATTTCTGCTACCTTCCTGGCTTTGCTCTTTGTATGGCTCTTCATCTTGCCCACTGACATCGCAACCTTACATCATTGGTGCTGTTGCCAGTTCTTGCATTGTTCCTTGGTTCCCCGCGCTTATCGATCACTCCGCCCTCTCGCGGCACCAGGAAGTGACGTGCACCTTGCCTTTCTGCGGGGAGCTGGCGGACAGTGCAAGTTTGGAGGACCGCACGGAAGCCAACACAGAGACGCCGCGCTTGGGGGAGGGGAGGGAGGCAGTATGCAGGTGGAGGGCGAGATGCAGGAAATGAGGGAGGGTGGGGGGGAGACAGGAAGGAGATGGGAAGGAGTAGTGCGGGGATGGAGGGAGGGGGGAGGGAGGAAGGGGAGGGGAGGGAGGGAGGCAGGAGATGGAGGGAGGAGAGGGAGGGAGGGACGAATGTAGGGAAAACTGTGGAGATGGAACGAGTGAGGGAAAGGAGGGAGACCAGGGATGTGAGCCAGAGAGATGTGTGGGCATATTTGGACAAGCAGTGGCCTCCTGGAGCGTCCTGGGGATTGCACTGGACCAGATGGAGGAGAAGGGGGTGCAGCAGCAGCAGCAGCACTGACAACTAGGAGGGGGGATGACGAGGAGGAGGGGGGATGAGGAGGGAGGGGGAGAGAGGAGTGGGAGGAAGAGGAGGAAGAGGAGGAGGAGGAGGTCCGTTGCCATTTTGGCTCAAGGTGGGGACCAGGGACTCCCACGGCGAGCGGGCAGCCTCCTTCAGGCCATCCAGCGCGTCGTGCGCTGGCGGACTTCCACACCTCTTTCAGCTTCCTCCATTCCCGCCCCGACGGGGCAGCATGGCCATCGGTGGAGCTGGGGTTTCTCTCGCTGGTCTTGCCGATGATGTTGATGCTGTGCCTGCCTCCGCTTCCCAGGAAGGCACGGGCAGGAGTCCGACGCCCCGTGGTGGAAGCCCGCGCAAGAAGGCCAGGAGCGGCCCCCGCGCACGGGACGGCACACATCGGGAAACATGCCGGCCCCCACCATCCTTGCTGGGTAGTCGAAGGCCAGACTGTCAGATTGGATTGGGCCCCACGGGCCAATCTGGCCTGGCCGAACTGGATGATTTGGGTTCTTCGCCAGTCTGGATTCGCGTTGGCTCCCTCGCCAGATTGCCCCCGTTCGCCAGATTGGGCCTGCCAGATTGGCGCCAGATTGGCTTCGACTACCCAGCCTTGTCGAACAGCAGTGCCCATCATTGTATCTGGTGGGCCTGCGCGCAGCAGGCCATACGCCGCCCACCCCCGCCGTCCCTGTCAAAAAGCACTTGACAGTGATCGCGGGGTGGTCGCGCATGATCCAGATTTAGCCGCGAGGTGTATTTTTTATTGTTTTTTGTTAGGGATGGTAGCCGTGCGCACGACAGGCAATATGCTGACCCCCCGCCGTCCCTGTCAAAAGCAGTACACAGTGCCCGCTGGCCAAACGAACATAACTCAAGACTTTGCCCAACAGTGTATGTTTTTTTGATTGGGATTGTGGGAGGGCGCATCGGGCTGGCCGCGCCTGCTCCACATGTGGAGGCAGAGTGCGTTTTGTATTGTTTTTTTATAGGGAAGGTGGGGGGGGCCGCATGGCTCCTGATTGGCCGCCGGTCGCCTTGGGGAGGGGGTCTGTATTAACAGGGAACAGCGATAACCCCACCCCGAGCAGGGGAAGGAGGGGTTGTGGCAGAGAGAGAGAGAGAGATAGGGAGAGAAAAGACAGCATCCGTTAAATCACCTACGCCCAGAGGGCTGGTTGGTTTAAGCGGGTTCGACGGGGCGCATCCGTGAATGTGAACGACTGGGTTTGAGCTCGCCCGGGTATGAACGATCCTGTTTAGATTTGGCAGAGTATGAGTGAGATCGAGTATGAATGGGTTTGAACACGAACGAGTTGAATTACCGACTGAGCTGTGAACGAGTAGGGGGGACTAAACAGTGGATGCGGCGGGAGGAAGGAACGGAGAAGGCGGAATCACCACGCTAAGGTCAAGACCACCACACTCAGGCGGGAGGCTGTGAGTTTGTGTGATGACTCGGTTCCCTGTCTCACCTCGGCATCGTTGCACTGTTTGGCACCCTGAGTCCGCCCTGACGCCGAGGACTTCGCGCAGCGATCGTGCGCCCCAACGATCCAGCAGGCGATGCGTGGGGGGGAGGAAGAGGTTTGGACCAGCGGGCGCGGCCGAAGAGGGCAACTCAGCGTCATGTTCAGTCTCAGGAGTGGAGGTATACAACACTGCGAGTGAACTTCGGAACGGCTTGGCTGGCTTGAGCCTGCGGGTGTGGGGGTGTCGTTAGACAGGGCCTTGGGGTAGGCTGCGTTTCTGGGGGGGGTGGGAGGTGGGACGTGAGGGTGGCGGGGGGAAGCGGGAGATGGGGGAGAGGGAGGAAGATGAGAAGGAGGGTGTGAATCTGCCTCTCTCTCCGTTTCCTCCCCTATGGTGGCCGCTTGGCGCTAAGCTGACCCCCTCGTCACTCATTGACGTTTGCCAGATGAACAGCTTTCGGGTCAGCAGAAGAAGGAGGCCATGGATGACAGGGGGGAAGAGAACACAGCTCAGTTCAGGGTGCTGGTCGTATTTTCTGCTTTGGGGATGAGGGGTTTGGAGCTATTAGTCGTGTTTCCTCGTCCCCGTGCTTGCCTTTGTCTGTCGGGAGAGCGCTTAGCAACATAGTCCGCACCGACATGCAGCTCTTGTTGTTGGGTGTCATCTGCTCTGTAGATCGAATGCAGGTTGTGTGCCTGTAAGAGCTGTTTTTTGATGTTCACGTGCATGCTCGCTCTTTCGCCGCCCGCTGTTGTTCGCCAGGTGGTTGATAACCTTTGCGATGGTGCCCACCATGCGTACATGGTCCCGCGTAGACGCTGACGTCGGGGTTATTCACGACGCTTCGCGATAATCGTCCACCTGCTCAGGTCTGGCATGAGTTTTCACAGCCGTCTTTTCGAACCATTGTCGCTCTCAGATGCGCAAGTCGGCAACGTTCGGGGGACAGTCCACATCGGCACGCAACAATCCCCACATGATATTCTTTGGTTCAGGAGAGCATCATAAGGGACCGACGCGGGCTGTACATTGAATGGTAATCGCAATAGTTGGGCCTAGAATGAATTCAAAGCGGCCACACTATTGCCCATACTCTGGTGCACACGAGACGCCCCCGAGAACACCCAAACAGTTCAGGACGGCTTCAGCAGAGGGCAGCAGCGACCCCATTACGGCCCACCAAGCCTCCCAGACGTCTTCAAGAAGGGCCAAGGTCGCCTCCTGGTTCGAAAGTGGCTGGTCAAATACGGTACAGGATAACTTTGCAGATATATCGGTTGATAAGCTTGGGTGCCGATTTGGAGCCTGTGCGGGCTTGATTTTGGTGCCCGGGAGTGCCCGGGGTCGGCGGGCCTTTCATGGGACCCTTTCAGTCCCTATCCACGCCGCGAGTCATGACCAAAGACTATCTCAGGCGCCAGTCGCTGTTGCGAGATATATTGTAATGTTCAGGCAGATCTCAGGAGCCCGAACGGCACACGAGGGCTGCAAGACGGGTCCAGTGTGGCGCCAGATGGCCCCGCGACGGCCCGAGGAGGCTCCCAGTGCGGCCCAGGGAAGCCCGAGAGGGCCCAGGAGGACCCCAGGGCCGCCCACGAGGCCCCCAAGATACCCAAGATGCCCAGAGTAGGGCCGTCTCGGCCCCACGGCCCAGCGGGCTCTGCTTGCCATATCACCAAGACGGCTGTCGCGCCCCAGGGTCCCCGTTCTGAGGGCTCCCCGCCCGTCCGCAGAGCCCAGGGGCCTCCCGGCATGTGGCCTGGGAGGCCCATCCTGGGGCTGCTTGGGACCCCTCCGAGGCCCTCTCCATCCGCTCGTCGGCGTCGCCTGTGCCCTCTCGGAGCCATCTTCTGCTTGCACGCTGGGAGCCCCGGATGTGGCCCCCTAGCCTAAGGAGTTCCTCGGGTTCGTGACTGATCTGGGTCCGATGGTTGAGGTTCTTTGGGCTCTCTGACGGCCGCCTTCGGGCCGTTTTCGAGTACGGGAGGAGGAGGAGGAGGAGGAGGAGGAGGAGGAGGAGGAGGAGGAGGACGAGGAGGAGGAGGAGGAGTGAGCATACGCTTTTTGCTTTTTGGATGCCCGTTTGGGACCTCTTGGAGGTCTCGCGGGCCTGTTTTGGTTCTCATCGGGTTCTCTTCGGGGCCTCCTGGGGGCCGCCTGGGTGCCTCCTGGGGTCTTGGGGTGCCTCATGGTGCCTCTTGAGGGCCTGCTGGCTGTCTCTGGGGAGCCTCTTTTGGTGGAGGACTCCAACTGCAGTTCGAGTTCCTCTCTGTTGGGCCTCTCTTGGGAGCCTCTTGGGATCTCTTGGGCCCCGCTTGGGGGCCTCGCCCCCCCCCCTCCCCCTGGGTGCGGCTTGTGTGGCTCTCGGGCTGCCTTTGGCCTTCTTCAGGCCGAGACGGCGATCATGTTTTAGTCGTGCAATATCTTAGGGTGTTCCCATGGTTCTGGCTTCCCGGCCCCAGTGCGTCCAAATGGCCCAAGCGACCCCCGAGAGAGACGGTCGCTTGGAGCCATCTTGGGGCACGCTGAGAAATTGGATCATGTACCGCGCTCCCGATGCTTCCCGCAAAGCTCCGCGAACATTGGAACACGCGAGAGCGCTCGGTACGTCGGGGAGTCTGGAGTCTGGGCCTTTGAAGAATTTCCAGCTAATCAGCACTGAGAACTCGAAGGACCCTGATAGCATGTGACTCGGTGCCTACGTCACCGTGGCGGGCATACGTGTGTGATCTAGACATTGCACCAGATGATCAGATCTCTCTCTCTCTCTCGCTCCCTCTCTCTGTATCTCTTTCTCTGTCATCATTTCTCTCTCGTTTGATACGTATGTATACATTTACTACACATGTATATAGTGACCATTGCCGTTGTTTCAGCATATGTAGTTGTACATACTCATCCCTGTACAATTCCACTGTCGGAGCAACCTTTTAGGTTGTGTGCACCTGTGCTCATTAACCACTTTCCTTGCAAAGTCGTAGGTACAATAATTTGTTATACCTCGAACTAGACGTATCGGCCGCGGTGTATACTATACATGCCACACGTATTAGTCCTGTAGTTGTTGTTTGCGCATCCAGATCTTCATCTGCCAAGCCGTATTTGCACATTGTTCTGCAGTTTGCTAAGTATCTGACCAGGATGAAAGCATGGACTTGTTTGTCTTTCAAGCGGATGCGCGCCGCCTCAGTTCAGAATGATCTGTTGCCGTCGGGTATGAGGCGGATGGTACTTCCAGCGCTTTGCAGCGTCGTGCTGTTCGAAAACAGTGGGAATCTGATATCCCTTCCCCGCGCCGCTCCCGCATGCTGCCCCTGTGCAGAAGTCTAAGGGGGACGGTTGGCTCCGTCTCCTTCTCGGGACCGTTCCTTACCGCCCCACCCGCTTCGGCCCAGCATCTGTGAGTCAAACCATTATCCCGTCGGTGTAAGTGCTATCGAAGACGCCCACGGCGAATCACCGCCGCCCCCTGCCTTCTGGAAATGCCCGTGGTGCAGTGCCGAGCGAGTGTGCGGCCATGCTGTTAGACGGCATGTTCACCCAGCGCGCTCGGGACACCTGACTGCTCTCTCCAGCCGTCGTGGGTTGCTGACGGAGCGTTTTGTGCATTCGGACACCGTCTTGGGTGCCTATCTGGACCGACCTGGGGACCTCTTGGGGCTCTTTAGGGCCGTCTTGAATCTCTCTTGGGCCGTCTTGGGCCTTGGGGTTGTCTTGGGGGCCCAATCACCCGTCTAGGGGCGATCATGGGGCCCGCTTGCGCTGTCTTGGATGTTCAAGAGCTCGAAGCGGCGAGAGACTGCGACCAATTGAACATCCAGCGGGACTCAATGAATTTGGCTTCTGGAGACCTCCCAGAATTCATCTCTTTCGGGAGCCTCTGAGGGCTTCTTGGGGCCACCTTGCTGTTAACCGCGGTTTCCCTCTCAAAGTCAGGGCCCCCATGTGAAGTGCTTTGGGGAGCTTCTTGAAGACCTTGGGCGGTCTGGGAGCTATCTTGGAGCTGTATTTGGGCCCCGTCGGGCCATCTTGGGGCTCACTTGGGCCATTTAGGGGTCTTGGAACACAGCGCAATGCGTTTTGGATACCTCTTGTATTTTGAGGGATCGTCTTGGGGCGTCTCGGGGATATCTGAAGCCTTGTTGGGCGCTAGTGAGGCTGTTCGGGCGCCTCCCCCATTGCTTTGGGACTCTTTTCGAGGCCCGCCAGCGACGTCCAGGAGGCCCAGAAACCCGAGCAGACGCTTGGCAAGGGGCGTCTAGGACGTCAGGGGGGCCGAAGTTCGTTTAGGGGGGTCGTCTGTGAGGGCGTCCCGGCTTTGCAGTCATAGAACATAGGGAACATGGTGGGAGCAAACGCACCACCACCACCATTGGCCACCCCTCCAAACACATACAATTGATCACACGCATGACGGTGAATCCAAAACCAAGAAGGCCCGTTCAAGTCCCACACGAGAGTCAGACGCCTGGGGAGGGTGGTGCTGCAGTGGTGCCAGGTGGTGGTGGTGGTGGGGTACGCTTGTTGTGCCAGTTTGCGGGACAGCCTCAACATCGGGCTTTGAGACCCTGGCCCAGCCCGTTGGTATTCTAGGGTCGACTCCCATAGGCCTGAGGTGGAGAGATGTTGAGGGTAGGTGTTCTGCCTAGGCGCATGAATGCATAAACACATGTGTATGTATGCTTACATGCGTGTAGTCATGTATGCATGTATGTATGCATGTATGTATGTATGCATGTATGCATGTATGTGTACATGTCAGTATCAGTATATGTTTGTATACATGTATGTATGCATGTATGTATGTATGGGTGTATGTATGTTTACACGTACGCATGTATGCATGTATGTATGTTTGCATGTATGTATGTACGTACGTACGTACGTATGTGTGTATGTATGTATGTGTGTATGTATGTATGTATGTATGTATGTATGTCAGCAAAGTTGCGTTCATACCTTCATGCCTGCAGACATGAATGGATGTATTGATGTATGCATGCATGTATGCATGCATGGTTATGTATATACATGTATGCATGCATATGTACGTATGCATGCATGTACGTTCGTTTGCATACATGCATGTATGGTATGTATGTGTGTATGTATGAATGGAAAGATGAATGTATGGATGCATGTATGTACGTATACATGCATGTATACATGTATATAGGGATGTATGTTGTGTAGCTATATGTATGTATGATTGCGTATGTGTGTGCGCATGCATGCATGCATGTATGTACGTGTCAGCGTGTCAGTCGGTCAGACTGTTATATGTAATTGATGTATGTTCACATATGTTCAACGATGCATCTAGCTATGTGCACATATACAGCTATGTGCATGTACGCATCCATGTGCAAATATGTATGCGTATAAGCATATGTATCTATAAGCCTAGGTCAAAATTTTCATGGGGCGGAACCCTGCGAACGTGTCCTTCTGAACGGGACCTCCCCGATCCCTGGTCCTGGGGGCCTTCTGGACGCTCCTTGCCAAGGTCACCCGGAACTTCTGGGCGTCCCGGATCCCTCCCGACCCGTGCCAACGGCCGTCCAGCGGTGCCACGAGGCCCCCAAGACGGTCCAAGAGGGCCCCGAGAGGCCCCACAACGCTCCAAGAGGCCTTCAAAAGGACCCCCCAACAGCAAAAATCGCTTCAGTCCCTTAGGACACGTGCATTTTTGGAGTGTACGCTTTGTCAGTCGTGGCAGCGTCCAGGACCGCCTAAGGCGTTCCAAACGTCGCCCCAAAACGGTCCAAGAGGCCCTCCAAGAGCGCCCCCAGATGGCCCAAGAGGGCCCCAAGACTTGCCAAGGGCCCCAATACGGCCCAAATAGGACCCAAGACCCCAATCGGCTTCCAAGAGAGGCCTAAGAGGGCTATGTGAGGCTTCCAAGAGGACCCAACATGGCCCCTAGACGGCTTCCAGAAGGCCCTCGCCCCCCAAGGTGGCCCAAGAGGGCTCCAAGACGGTCCAAAAGCTTCCAAACGGACCTTCAAGAAGGCCTCGAGAGGCCATATTCATTGACGGCCGAACAGACCCCGAAGATCCCCCCAAGATGGCCCAAAAGGCCTTCAAGAGGGCCCCCCGACCGCCCAGGAGGGCGCACCGAAGCCCTAAGACCTTTGCGACTTCCGACAGAGGACGGCAAAGGATCGAAGCTCGAGCTTCGACGATCGATGTTTCCCGAGCGTTTTCCAGCTTTTCGGAGCCTCTGGCGTTCTCGTCGCCGCATGGCAGGGTCCGCCTCAAGATTCGGGCCCAACGCAACCCAAGAATACTCCGGGGAGCCGGCGGCAGTTCAAGGCCACGGTGGATGGCGCGAAGAGCGACACTGCACCAAGCTCGAAGGACCACGGTGCATGGCGCGAAGCGCCAATGCAGTCTTCTATGTGCAATTATATGTGCATGTGATCATATACATATATACACACTACCGGCAGTGCCCAGTGCAGAGCGACACCCCCTGGGATGGCTCATACTGAGGGTTTCGTGCTGGCGGCTCCGCTGCTGCGGGCTGGTGCGCAACCCTTGGAATACACGAACCCCTCGGAAAACCCTGAAGGCACTGCCGGTGCGGGCCAGTACGACCCCCCCTGGGTGCACGAAATCCCATGATGCTCGGAACTTCAGGATTCCAGACCAATTCCTCAGGAACCTTAGTATCCCCCGGATTTTTTCAAGATGCCCTCAGAGATCACCAGGAATCTCCCCGTAATGCTTCGGGAGTGCTTGAGGAAATCGTGAGGAGTCCTCCATAATCCTGAAGGCCTCATCGGATGTCCCTCAAGGGTCCTCGCAATTACTCTGCCCATACGGAGACCCACACTCAACGCCCACACGGAGACTCGGGCCGGGCGAAAGGGGGGGATTGGGAAAGGGGGGGTTACGAAATTTGCTGCGTGCAGCTGGTTTCGGCCTCACCGAGGGGCCCATTCCTCGATACATAGCCGCCTCCGGCGCCGGGAGGCGCCGGGAAAATCAGCTACGTGAGCTGATTCTCAAACCCCCCCTTTACTATCCCCCCCTTTCGCCCGACCCGAGAGACCCACACTCCACTCCCACAGGGGGATACGGGTCGTCGGCGACACTTTGTTGCCCCCCAGTCATGACACCCCGCAGTTGTGGACAAGAGTGAGGGGGCGGGCGCGGAGTGCGTCGCGGGTGGGTCGCGGAGTGGGTCGCGGGTGGGTCGCGGGTGGGTCGCGGGGGGTCGCGGACCGGGTCGCGGGCGAGGACGACGACAACAGCTCCTCGCAAAGCAACGCAACGCAACAGCAATCCGCACCGCGGAACCCCATTTCAGCCATGCACCCAGGGACGGTGAATGACCGTTCGGCCCCAACACTCTGATATACAGATGTGCGTATGCATGTGTACATCCTGTTTAATGCATACCACACAGTTACACATATGTTCACACATACATATGCCATTTTGAGTGTGTGAGTATGTATTCCTGTGAGTATGTATTCCTACGCACGTGTATCTTTATGTCTATATATATATATATATATCTACACAGTGGCCCTCGGCCCTTTGCCTGCGTTGTAGGTCAGCGGCCTACTGGATGCTTGTGGGGATATCAGGGGGGGCCTCCCGGAAGCCTCTTGAGGCCTCTTCGGGGCCTCTTCGGGCCTGGCCTCTTGAGGGCCTCGTGGAGCTTCCGTGGGGCCTCTTGGAGGCCTGCCTGCTGGCGGTATTGGGGATCATGTTGGGGCGAAGGGCGCGAAAAGTCAGTTCGAGTTCCCCCTCTTGGGATCCTCTCGGGGCACTCTTGGGACCAGGGAGGGGGATCCAACGCAGATCCAAGAAATCCGCGCTGTCAGTTCGAGTTCCCCCTCTACTCCCGTAGCTCATTTACTTGTACCCCGATGTTATCCTCCCGATGCCAATATTTCCTCTTCTTGTGTCAGCTTTTCGTTGCCCTCTGAGCTCCGATGCCTACTTCCTAGACCTCAGTTTCGTTCTGCCCAGCTATCCCGTTTCTCTTCCGAACGCCGAGCGCCCATGCCTGTGCCCATCGTAGCACTAGCTTCTTTTCCCTACGCCCCCTCTTTCTGTATCTTTACGCCCGTACTTCCGGATCAGTGCAGCTGAATTCCCAACCATCCTGTGGCTTTGGGTCCTCGTTTTGAGTCCGCAATGCCCCGCCTCGGCCACCTTTCCACCTTTTCCGCCTATCCCTCACCTTCCTGCTTCATTCCCGCACACCCCGTACGTTTCGCGGCCCCTCAGGGAGCTCCACCGAAGGCCCCAGCGGCAGAATCCGCATGTCCCCCTCCGCCTACGTCGCCACGTCCTTCCCTCGTTTCGTGGCCATACGGGGAGCTCCACTGAAGGCCCCAGTGGCAGAGTCCGCAAGCGTCCCCCCGTCCATTTCGCCACGCCCCTCACACGCTTCGTGGCCCCGCCTTTCCCAGCCGTCCTGTGGTGTTGGGTCCTCGTTTTGAATTCGCAGCGCCGCGCTGTCCATCGCATGTGAATTTCGGCGCGCCACACGTTCCGTGGTCCCATGGTGAGCTCCACCAGAGGCCCTTGCGGCAGCGCCCGCATGCGTGCCCGCGCGCCCATTCCGACACATCCCTCACACGCTTCGTGCCCTCATAAGGAGCTTTACCGACGGTCCCAGTGGCAGTTCCTGCATGCGTGCCCGGGTTCATGTGGGTACACCCCTTACGCGTTTCGTGGCAACATCAGATGCTCCACCGACGGCCCCAGTGGTCGCGCCTGCATGTATGCCCGCGCCCATTTCGGCACATCCCTCGCATGTTTCGTGGCCCCATACGGAACTCAACCGAGGGCCCCAGTGACAGCGCCTGCATGACTTGTGGCGCGCTGCCTAGAAGGACAGGGTCATATCCTACGCCACTCGTACTTGACTCGCCCCTCTCCTTCGTATCACTTGCTCTACGGTACCCGCAGCCACATATGGTTGGGCCGTTCGTCAGGATCGCATTCTTTCTGGTGCTCACATATTTGGTCCGCGCTCAGTCGGGGCGTCGAATTCAGGAACGCTGCTGGTTCGAATGCGTCTCGGTGCTTCTTCGGTTTTCTGGCTGATCTCCGACAGCAGCTCTCATCCCACCTTGGGCGGAGCAGCTGGCTTCGTTCAGTCATGGCAGCTCGTTGAAGCAAGAGTTGGGCTGTATCCCCTTCTCTTCCTGTACCCCCTCCTGTCTGGCTCACAATGCAAGCACTTGTTTTTCCAGTCCCCCCCCCCTTCTGGCCCGCTTTGGTCCCAGCCCTGGCTCTCCACGCCCCCGGATTCTGGCCAGGTCGGCCTGATGCTCGCCATTGTCTTCTGCATGAACGTTATGTTGCAAGGTCGCGGGCGCTTTGAACCATGATGCCCTGCGAGGTATGAAGGGAAGACTTGGCATCGCTCGGACGTGTGCATTTTTCCTTCGGCGAGGGCCATCGAGGAGCATCCTTGATCGTTTGGCGAAAAAACCACGCACGAAACCGGAAAAACACAGGGAACGGACGTCCGAGCGATGCCCTGCGAGGAGGTAGGAAGGGAAGAGAGGAGCAACGACTCGCGTAAATATGCACTGTCGGAGGCCCCCGCGCGGGTTTCCCCGATCTGCGCTGGATCCCCCCTCCTCTGGCGCGCGGGGCGCGCCGACCGCGGCGCTGGAAGGCCCCGCCTGGGGGGGGGGGGCCAGCGCCGATCCACGAGATCCGCGCCGACCTCCAAAGGTTTATGTTTATGCAGCAGGGGTGGACCCAAACGGTGTTTTGGCGGTTTCGCGGGCCGTTTTCGTTTCGATGTCGTTCTGCGTGAAAGGCGGGTTGAAGACGAAAGAGGGAAAACGAAAACAAAACGAGCACGAAAAACACCGTTCAGGTTCCGCCCTGTTATGCAGCTTCTTCTGCAGAAGAAGGAGGACGAAGCAACGAGGATGCGCAACATGAGTAGCGTGCCCCCTTCGCCGCAACGGCCGTACGCGGCTCGAGAAGCGGACCAGCTTCGACCCGGGATGGGTCTGGGGACGGATTTTCTCCCCCGCTGCTCCTGCCTGAGCTGCCCCCCCTCCTCCTCCTCCTCCTCCTCCTCCTCCTCCTCCTCCTCCTCCTCCTCCTCCTCCTCCTCCTCCTCCTCCTCCTCTGGGTCGAGAAGCTGACCAGTTTCGACCCCGAGTTTGCTGTCGTCCTCCCGTACTGACAGATCTTCTCGGGGCCCATCCAGCTCAGACCTCCCAGCCGTCTCCACATTCCCTGGCTCAGGAAATCGACTGCTGCCTTTTTGTGGTGCTTTCTACGGCTGGTCCGGCGTGCGGCCAAGACGTCCTCGAAAGCCTGCTGAGGTGTCTGAACTCATAGGGTTCTTTCTTACGCAATTCCACCAGGGGCGGCAGGAGGGGTCTGAACAGCACTCCAGAGTACGTCCCGGGTCATTCAGTCATCTGCTTGCGTTGGGATTTCTCTTTACGGGGCTCTGGTTAGATGGGGCGCCCATTGCAGGTTGGACTATTCAGAGCTTTGTGGGGGAGTTGAATGATGGTAAACCCTCATGCCGCATGTCTTCCCAATGAAGTGAAGCTTGCAAGATCAGTGATTCAGAATGTAGTTGGCCGCCGGATGATCGTCCCAATTGATCCGCAATCGAGATCTGCCTCTTCCTCCTCCTCCTCCCCTCCCTCCCTTTCCCCCCCGTCTGCCTCCCTCTTCCCAACTTTCCTGCCATCGTACAGGTAGTTTTCTGTCAGAAGGACAAAAGCAAGAGGCAAGGGGTCCTTACATCCCTGAGCTCTTGGCTCCATTGGCGCCCTTGGAAGCCTTGTAGGTAGGATCCCCGGCATCCGTTGGCGCTTTCTAGGTTCGTGTGCGGTTCTATATTTGCCCTTATTGCTGGTTTTGGGCAGTGCTTCTCGTCTTCCTCGCACCATGGTGCTCGACGTGGAACCAGAACAGACTGGGGGCGTGCAGCGCCTGCCCCCCTCTTCCCCCTTATATTTTCTCGCCGAGCTGCGCTCTGGGGCTTAGCTCCCCCTACCTCCTCCTTCTCCCGCTGCCCCCCCCCCTCTCCCCCGCCCCTCTCTGCCCCCTCCACCCTCCCTTCCCCCTCTCCTCCTCCCTTCTCATGTGTTCTCCCTCCCCTTGGCCTAGCGGGTCCGGAGCTAGCAAGCTCCAGCGGGAGCCGAAGTTCCCAGCCAAGGCTCGACAGCGCCGACACTTCATCTTCAGCTGGCAGAAGGATTTGCTGTTCGATGGAGAACAGTCCCCCATCCTTCATCCCCTCGCCCTCTTCTCGTCCCCACCTCCCGTTCTTGCTGTTGACACTCCACGCAGCAGGCGCGGCCGTGTATTCGTTCAACTACTACATGACGTCGTCGATGCGGAAGAAGCGCCTCAGGGGAGGGGCCCCTTTTGCTCAGTCACAGGGGCGTGGGAGCGATGGCTGCCGCGGCTGCAGGGGAGAGGGATGGGCAGCGCGGGTCGAGCACGAAGTGAGCAGGGGAACCGAGTTGGCAGGAGGAGTAGGAGGAGGAGGAGGAGGAGGAGGAGAAAGATACTGAGGAGGAGGACGACGAGGTGGAGGAGGAGGAGGAGTATGATTAGGATGAGGAGGAGGAGGAGGAGGAGGAGGAGGAGGAGGAGGAGGAGGAGGATCATACCAGACCATCCGTGGACGCCCATTCTGGCGCTGACGAACAGCGCACCCTTGCGGGCGACCTGGTTGCCTGGGCAGAACCGTTTGACACCATGGGTTGTTTCCGAGCGGTCGCCAGCCTGCCGGCGAACGCCCGGGCTCATTTGGCGTTGGCACCGCGCGGAGGCAACGCGAACAAGACCATAATACAACCCACGATATGTCAAAGGAGGAGCTCGAGGGGGAGCTCGAGGAGGAGCAGGAGGAGGAGGAGAACGTTGTTTTGATGCACCCTCCCGTCCCAGGTTCCCCTCCCCATTGTTCTCATCGGTCTTCCGTGTCGTGCGCAGCGCGCTCCTCGGAGGGGCGAGCGCCCGTGGGCCCACACTCTCGGGCGGAGATCTCCCGTCTTGAAGGCAGGCGGCATCCGTCCTTCGATCTCTTCCTGGAGTGCGACCAGGCGGGGCCAGGCCGCTCGAGGGAGCGTTTCGCGCCGGCCCCGCGTCAAACATACACGCGCCGCCCTGCGTCCGTGAACCCTCTACGTTCTGCTCCTGGCCATGCAGCCACGCGAAATGCGGAGTGGCAGCCGCACTTGGAACGTGGGGCCGCCCTCTGTCTTCTTGGATGTCGCGCTGGTGTGCGCGCGGTTGATCGCATGTGTTGTGCAAGTCTCAAGCGATTGCCCTGGTTTGGCATGGAACCGCCCTCCGTCCGTGTAACTGCTGGGAAGTCCTGCGACAAGCCGGCGCGGCGTCAGAAGGATACACCCACTTTGACAGCCACCCGCCCTCCGTCCGCGTTGCGCTCGGATGTTCCACTGCACGTGCGCGCTGCGCTATGGCACGATCCACGCTGTGAAAGCGGCCCGCCCTCCACCTGGGCAAGTATTCAATATTGTCACGGCGAGCGTGCGCGGCGCCATGGCGAGAACCCACTTCTGAAAACCTCCCGCCCTCCACTTAGTGGGGCTGACGAATAACGTTTGGACGAGCGCTTGCGCCCCCTGTTGGGAGCCACATTTTGAAAGCCACCCGCTCCCACGATCCGTGTAACAGTTGGACTTCTTAGTCTCGATACCGTGAGAGAGGCGAGGATGATAAGGTCTTGCGGAGATGGCGTGACTGGGACATTGTTTATGCCTGGCGCTTCCAGCTTGGTTTGTGAAATTCAGCACGTACCTTCAGCATGTCAACACATACTCGCCCGCTAGGGGTGGCGGGAGGGGTAGTGGGATCAGACGGAAAGACATGGGAAGGAGGGAAGGGATTGACGGACAGAGGGAAGTGGCGGAGAGTACGTCAGTGAGGAAATACGTAAAGGGAATAAGTGAGAGGAGGGAAAGGGGCGAGGGGGAATCGTGTAAGCGGGCTCTCGACGATGATGTCTCCCAACGCCCCCCCTTCGCACGCAGAGTTGTAGGAGAAGACCCAGAGGACCGAGCGAGGTGGATTGGCCTTGCTTGGAGCAACATCGGCCGACGTCCTGCCTGCGATGCCCGTGCGAGCAGTCATTCGCGGAACGTCGGTCCGCTTGCACGGGTGGTCCTCGCGGAGCGCCTTGAAGTGGCTCCACCTGGGGCGAACCTGGGAGGCAGGGGGGAGGAGGGGGACGTGGATGTCGCAAGCCTAGAGATTGACACCAACATCAATATCGGCGGTGTGCCTCCACCGAGGGGAGAAACTCCCGATCTCGGTGATGGTGGTAATATTCTGGCTTCCAAGGTGACCGATGTATTGCCACCAACACCGAAATCTACGATCATCTTTCCCCTGTGGAGGCAAACCCCTGTGTTGGTGCTGGTGCCCATTTCCAGGCCTCCAATGTCAGAGTGTACGCGTCGCTTGCCTTGCCAACTCATGCGGCCAGGGCCCCTTCTGGACTGGCGGCCCGCCCGCCTGCCCGCTCCTTGCTTCTTCCCCCCCCCTGGCCTGGGGCCCTCCGTCCGTGTCATCCTCGTATATCCTCGTGATGGCCGGTGTCTCCCTGTGGCGCGCCCTCTCCCTGGCCCAAGCATCCTCCACGCCTGCTCGCTGCATCGTGGGCGCGCAGTGCTCGTTCTCTGTGACAGACGTGTTTCGGAGGGGTTCGACGATGCATACGCCAGGGCGTTTGGTCGGCCGAGGAGCCAAGGAGCTCAGCGAAGGAATTCGGTGCATGGCGCTCCAGCTTCCCGCAGGCTGCGAATCTGGGGCGTCCAGGCATCGCGCCCCTTGGCCGACCAGACGACTTGGTGTATACTTCAGGCCCCTCCCAGTGTTGATGACGCGACGCTGACGGGTAGGTTGCTTGCTGGGACCTCTTCACACATGCACGAGCGATATTCTTCTTGGTCAATCGCCTGTGCCTGAAGAAGAGTGTACCAGGCGAGAGGCAGGACATGTGGCGATGGTATGTGTCGCGCGGGCGCGTTTTTTCTGATTGTCTTTACCAGGCCCTGATTCCAGGATCAAGCGCACGCAAACTTTGACAATCATTGCGGGGCAGGTACAGGAAGCTGGGGGTGATTCTGCAGTGCATTGGCATATTCTTCGTGGTCGCGGTCCAACGGGCAACATGCTGCTACTCCTGCTCTCTTGTGTCCTCCTCGCTGCCTGTGGCGGCAGGCCTTGCAGCCATTCGTTTGGGGGTTTGTCGAGCCACCATTTCCCACTTCCGGCGTTTTTCCCCCCCTCAGACAGACAAGGTAGATCGAGAAATCAGCTGCCCGCTGCCCCTCAGGAGGGCTATCCCCGTCGCGCGATTCACGGACAAGCAAGCACAGCGAGGCGCAACGCGACAAACAAACAAGAACAACAGTTCCTGGTGGCCTTCGAGTCTGCTGCCGACCCTCGCGCGCGCACCAGGGTATTGTCGTGCAGCCCTGGCTGCGCGAAGGGGCCACCTTGGTTAGTCGGGAGCGGCAAAGCGTGGGGTGATGACTAGGGGGGGGTGGATATCATGGCGCGGGCCATGAGATCTCCGCAGATTCATGGCGCCGCTTCTTATTCCATTACGTCCCTGGCCCCCCCGCTGGGCCGCGCACATGCCGCCGGTCATTATTTGCACCCCCCCCTCTTGGACACCCCCCTCGTGGCCGCTCCCGAGTTAGGAGAGGGGGATCGTGTTCCGGGTCGCCCCCAGGGGCGCGAAGAGAACCGCGCTTCGCGCATCGCGGCTCGGAGTGGAGAGATGCCCCTCTCCATGGGGGCGTCGCTGCGGCGCGAAGAGAACCGCGTGTCGCGCATCGCGGGGCGCGATGCGCGAAGCTAGGTGGATGCTGACCTTCTTATCAAAACGGGTCTTGCGAGGAGAGGGGGGCCATCTTGTTAGGAACGGGGGATGCCGATGCAAAATAAGCGCTAACACGAAGCACTCTCGGAGCCCCGCGCGGATTTCTCGGGTCAGCGCTGGCCCTCCTGACGGCGCCCCCGGCGCCGCCCCGGACTCGCTTCGCGCGCCAGAGAAGGGGGCCCAGCGCCGATCCAAGAAATCCGCTCAGACCTCAGGGAAACTGCATTTAAGAGGCTTATGCCACTCCGCCGGCCCCCAGAGGAAATACCAAGTCCACGGGTGAGCCCTTCTGGAGGCCTCTTTTGGGTCTCTTTTGGGCCTCTTGGAGACCGCTTCGGGCCCTCTTGGGTGCCTTCTGGCTGTCTCGGGGGTCCTCTTGGGGCGGAGGGCTCGAAATTCAAATTCGAGTTTCCCCTCTTAGGCCCCTTTGAGGGCCCTGTTTGGGGCCCTGGGCCATCTTGGGCGACTCTTGGGCCGTCTTGGGTCCCTCTGGGGCCGTCTTGGGGCCCTCCTGCGTCTTGGAGCGATCTTTGGGGCCTCTTGGGCAGTCTTGGACGCTGAGACCCAATAGGCGAACATGCAAGACATATATCTGTTCTGAAGGAATGGGGTGATTTGTCCCTCTTGGGGGCTTTCTTGGGGGCCCTCTTGGAGCCTTCTTGGGTCGTCTCGTAGGCCACTTGGGCATTCTTGAGGCCATCTTGGCTAATGCCCAGTTTGATCCAGCTGAGTCCACGGAGTGTGGATGTGACGGCTCCAGCGGCCCCAGGGGTCTGCTTGGTAGTCGAGGGGGGCCCCCGAGCCACTTCGAACGCGCGACCCTAGGGGAGTGGGGAAGGGGGAGGGGGACAGCCAAATGTCTTGCACGCCTTCCCACCCTGGGCGATCCGGGGTCGGCGGATTGTTGCCGACTGGCGCTCTTCTAGGACGGGGGAGCTGATCTGAGCTTCCACGGCGCGTGCGGTACCGGTCACGGAATCTCCGTGGCATGACGGCGCGCGCTGGGTTTCTCTCGCGCCCAGGCGTTTGTGTCCGACGGGGGCGGGCGTGTCGTCGGGAGCCCACGGAGAGGACGTAGTACGCGTCCAGCCACGTTCACGAGTGCGGCCCCCCAGCCCGCCATGCTCGCCTCGCGTTGCGACTGGCCGCGCAGCGCGTGCTTCCGAACCCAGCGTGGCTGCACGTGCACGTGCGTCCTCCTCTCGCTGCTGGTGTTGGGCGGCTCGCGCCGCCCCTCCCCCGTGGGCGCAGGCTGCCCGAGGGCCCGCGCGAGTGCGCGTGTGGCCGCTCCACGCCGAGAAGCGATAGCTTCAGGTCGGGCATGTCCCCCTGCAGGCGGATCTGGGGCGAAAGATAACAAGTATTCAAAAACGTATTCAACAAGGCTCAAAATAGTCAGAAGATCGTCCCCATGTTATTTGTGTGGACTATTCTTGAACGTTCCTCCTGTAGAGGGACAGGCCCGGCTTAACGATAGCTCGCGCAGGAGATCCATTGGGTAACAAGGAATGACATAAGCATAAACACTCGGAGCTCCGCGCGGGTTTCTCGGATCGGCGCTGGACTCCCCTGGCGGCGCTGGACTCCCCTGGCGGCGCCTCCAGCGCCGATCCAAGAAGTCCGCGCGGACCTCCGAGAACTTGCATTGCTCTCGCTTCATGCTCCTCGAGGGAGAAGGGGGATGCTGATCAGAGCTTCCAAGGCGCGTGTGGTACCAGCCACGGAATCTCCTCACAGGCCTCAAGGTTGACACTAACACCAGTATCGGCGGTGTCCTTCTACCGAGGGAGGATGATCCCGACCTCGGTGATGGTGGTAATATTCGGGCATCTGGGGGGCCGAACGACTGCCACCGGCATTATCATGCAGGACCATGCTTCCCTGGTGGAGGCCCCCCCCCTGTATACAGGTGCTGGTGCTCACCTCCAGGCCTCCCGTGGCATGCCGGGGCGTGCCTGGTTTCTCTCGCGCCCAGGCGTCTTGGCCCGAGTGGTGAGTGCTGGGCGGCTCGCGCCCGGCCCCACTGGCGCAGTCTGCCCCCGCGACCCGCGGCATCGGGTACTGCCAGGGCGCCCCCCCGGGCAAGACGACAGAGGAAATCCGCACGGGTTCATTCGACAGTGGCACTCGAGCGTGTTGGTGCAGTCCCCGCTCGGTTTCGCTCCTCGTCGTGCGTCTCGCCGGATCACACTCGGCTGTTTTTGGACGTCGATTCGCGATTCCGCCCGTCGGAATGCGCGCAATGCGGTGCCGCGCGCAGTCGTGGGGTGCCCCAGCGGCTGTCGCTGTCTGTCAATCCTCGACGTGAGTAGGCGTGAGGCCACTCCACGCTGTGACACGATGACTCGCACTGGAGATCCAGTCGAGTTGCAGTCCTGGGGCCCTGCAAGTAGGAGTAAACGTGTAGAGCGTTGAAGCCATGATTACCAGGGCGCTGGTCAAGGATCTTCGCGGCTGGATGGGCCAATCTGGGAGTTTCCCAGGGCCTCCCAGTAGCTTCTTGGGTGGAGCGCGGCAGTGCCATCGAGCGCCGCGATTGAATTGCCCTACGGCCGCGGAGCTCCGCGCCGTGCAGACTGTCTGGGAGTCTCCCTGCACCGCGTTCCCGAGCTCTGAGTGGCCCCTGCGGTGTCGGTCCGAGCTGTCTCGGGCCAGGCCAATAGGCCCTGGGCGGCCCAGTATTCACACCCGACACGGTTCACTCGCGATACCGTGGACATCGGTTGTGGCAAGGAGCATGGCGGAGCGCTGCATGCACATACTTCAGGAGGGAGAGAAACACACAGACACAATTAATCGGCGATTCCCCAGAAAGTATGGGAAACTATGGTAAGTGGGGGGGGGAATACAAACACCCAGAACAGATGGGAAAATATGGGGAATCTGTTTTACTTGTGCGTATTTATTTGTGTGTCCAAGGGCCCCTTCAATATTGGGTTTTGCGCGCACTCGTATATCGATGCCACATCGCGTGGCACACGATACAAGGCACACTTGCTCATTTCTCTCTGTTGCGGGCGCGTTCAGTCAGGACCCCAGTCTGGCACGTATGGCTTGAAGAGTCCATTCCCCCCCCCCCCCTCCGCCTCCGCCTCCTGTCCCGCCGAGCTCATCGACAATTCGAAGGCAAAGTAGACACGGCGGGAAGCGAGCCCAAGTGTATGGTAGCCGCTGGCTCGGGCATAGATCAGGTAGCGTCGGGTCAGCCCGTCGCCGCTACACAACGCACGGGTTCTCAGGTGAGAGTCTGGAGGTCTTTCGAAACCCAGCGGACCGACATCCTGGGCAAGAGGATGATTGACCTCCCCCCCACCCCCCACCTTGGGAAATGCGACACATTAGAGTTTCGCTGTTTGGGGATGTTTACTTAGTCATTTCCTGGACTAGAGTGCGAAATCGGTTCGGCTCATTTGGGCACATATCGGGTCAACGTGGGTTGGCCGAGCTGAGTAATTAGTTGTTTCATGCGCCCAGGTTGAGCTGGGGCGATTCATGCCACCACTTTGGACATGTCACCGGACGTAACATTTAGGGTCGTTCGCCCGCCTGTGCGGATCGGCATTGTGCCTCCGACCAGACCACGAATCTCGAAGCCGTGTGCAAGCACCGGCGGGTTGCCCGTAGTGGGACAGATACGGGGCATGCACCCGCAGTGGCTCGTATTGGGCAACGGGATGACAGTGCTGGGAAAAGCGAGTCAACGATTGCATGAGGCCAAGCCCGCTTCACACAATGTGGCAACGGGCGCTTCACACCTATGCTCGGAATTGCGCAGGTAACCAACATCTGAGCGTGATACAAGCCCTCTTTGAGAGCATTTCGATAGCATGTCGCATTCTTTACGTACGCGCGACGTGCGGTGTGATGGAGGGAGTTGTGTGTTTCTCGTTATGTCAGAACATCTGTGTTGAGCAGTGGAGCTAGCTGTACACAGCGCATTTGTTCTGGTGTCGTCTTGTCGCCTGGTCCTTTTAGACAGTGTTCCATCTCGACCCTTCAAGGTGCTCGGCATCTACTACGCAATGGTCATAATATACTTGAGCGGCGTCAAACTGAAGCCATTAGCTTGCGTCTTGCCGCTTCTCATACATCACTATGCTTATGTCGTCTTACCTTTTGCATGCGCACTTGCTCTCCGTTCTGCTGCAGTGGCGCGTTCGTTCGTTCAAGACGGTCCACGTTCCGTGCCTGCCCGTTCTGGCCTTCGCCGGAAGAGTCGAATATAGCCCCAAGACGGGGTGGAGACATGCCCAACGCAGTGAACGACGGTCCCGCAGGTGTGTTTAATACTCTTTCCTAGGTTCAATGCTCCTCCATTCCATCGCCGATTGGTCCGTCATCTGTACCACTTGCCCTATGGATCTTTGGCACGTGTCCATGGCAGGAGGCCGAAAACAGTCAGAAGGCGGGCCTAATTTTCCCCACGACGGACGCAGATGGCTTCTGGACGGGCCCCCCAAAAAACCAGAAGGGCCCGAGGGGGGCCCGGCCAGCCCGAGTTCCATTCACACTGGTCCCCCGCTGGGCTGGTTTGCCTTCCGATTCGGGGCCCACGTTAGGTTCGTAATCGTGGACGTCCCAGAGTGAACCCCAATCGGCATACATATGTATATATATATATATACATACATACATATGTATGTAGGTGTATTTTTATGCATATATAAAATGTGTATCTAGAAAGGTATACCCTTGCTCAAATATGCCACATACAGTTTCCACCAGTTGGTAGAGGAGCCCCCCCCAGGCAGCCCCTGTCGGGGCAAGGATAATTACTTCTTTTAGCTTTTGCAGTGCGCCTGGACATTTCAATTTATCGGCGAGGCTGCGCCGAGAGGGTGTTCTATCGGGCCCAACGCATCGATCTTGGAGGCCAATTGAGGGCCCAAGGAGGGGAGGCTAAAGGCTAAAGCCCTGAAAGGAGTTCACTCATATTATTCCCGCACGCCACTCAGCCGGTTGCGCGGGCGGATTAAAGAGGCTTGTGCTATTCCGCTGACCCCCTCGAGACGGGACTCGCGATGATGAATCAGGCTGACTATTTGAAACCTGTCTTGGGGCCTGCGTGGGGCCGTTTCGGGGTTCTCTTCGGGCCCTTGGCGGGGTTCTTTGGGCAATCTTGGCTTCGGTTTGGGGCCGTTGGGGAGCGCCTTGGGCCGGAGGAGGCTGGGGCTATCTTGGGGCAGCCGTGAGCCGCCTTCGAGCAGTTTTGGCTAGGAGACCCTGGGACTTGGGGCCATCTTGAGGTAGTTGTAGGCCTCTGGCGACTGGGCAGTGGGGAGCTGTTGGGGAAACTGTCACCTTGTGTACACACACACACACATCTGAACAGGCCCGGGCCCGCCCGCAGGTGGACACGCGCGTCTCCGTCTCCGTCTCCGTCGGAGGCCTCCTGGACCGTATCGGAGGCCTCTGCAGGTTCCGGTGGGCAGCCTGCGCCACAAGCACACTCAAGAGGCTAATGGCTAATCGAAGCTGATGATTCGGGGCTCTCAGGAACCCTGCTTGGAGCCATCTTGGAACGTCATGTGAAATCTTGAGGCCACCGCGATGTAATATCGAACGAAACTATGGCCGTCCAAGGCTTCTTCTACGGGGGCGCCTTGGACCATCTTGAGCAATTTGCTGCGCAGCCTTGAGGTTCCAACAGCCAGGCGCCGGACCACGAATTCCATGATTCACAAGATTTTTCTTCCAACGGGTCAATTCCAACAGTTCTGGTATCTCCATCAAGGAATTCCAATATTGTTGCGTATCAAACACTCCAAGACTTGCACCGGAGAGTTGCAAGAGCCCAAGGAATTCTTCCGATCATCCGAACTCCTGTTTTTAGCTGTTTGAGCTCGTGCTTGCTGCCAGACATCTGGCGTGATTTTTGCGTGACATTCCTGAAGCAAATGGGCTGCACACATTAGTCCTTGGAATTGTTGCCATACTTTTTGCCAGAAATCTTATTCCCAATTCTTCCAAACATTCATATCGGAGTTTCAATACTTCAGGGAATCCAGGGCTCCTTTCAAGAAGCAACCCGCAGAATTCTGGGAGTTATAGGAGTTCACGGATCATGGATGGAGTTCCCAGCGCTTGTGTCATTCATGGATGACGTTCCTGGAGTTCTTGGGATCCGTGGTTTGGTGATTGATCGGATTCTTGGTCGGGCGTTTGGTTTTTGGAGCTTCGAGGCTGGGCAGCCCGTTTGGAGGGTCCTTGGGGACGCCGTCGGCTGTTTCGCAGGACCTGAGGGACCAGAGGGTGCGCTGATGAGCTCGCGCCCCCGCACCACGTGGGATCTTGGATTCCAGGGGGAGGGAGACAGAGATGCTCGCGTCGTCAAACAAATCACGGCGGAAGGTTTTGGTCGTGTTCGGTTGCTGGGGGGCCTCGCTGGGCCCTGTGACTGTCAAACAACGACTCGCGA